ATTCGATCCCGAGATTATTCGATTAGGTAATGAATACATAGCTACTCATGAGAGCTAAATCAAAAGATGTCATGACTACAAATCTTGTCATAGAAGATGGACTGGATTGCTTATCCAAAAACTTTAATGGAATTAGTTTTCAGAGGTTTCCCGGACCTATAATTAAAAACATTACGTCGTGTGTTAAACACTTCAGTTCGTAAATAATTATTTAGTCGGTCATATTAATATGTATATTCTTAGTCAAAATTAAAATGGTCCTCATAAAAGCCAACATGACGTTTTAGCCCAATATTCCTTGAGATGACAGTGCGCAAATGCTTCAAAGTTAATTTCATTAATCCACGGATTATGTTGTAGGTAGAGTTGGTAGAGGTCACGATCGATCGACCTCATACCTACCACCTAAGATCACGTGAGTACCGAGTAGTCGATTCCAAAAATCGATGTGTCAGCGCGTCACTAGCCGCGGGGTGAACGACTCGCACGACCATTACGCGACCGCATCATTACGCCGTGCGCCCGCGCCGCGTACCGCACTGTAGTGCTGACAAAAACATTATAATTCCAAGGGTATATCATCGTAGGATATTGACGGATATTCAGAGAAATATTGTTTAATAGCCTGGAAAAATTAAATGTTCCTGAAACATGAAAAAACTACTTGGGAAAACTCACCCGTAATTTTGAAGAAAATGTGTGGAAAATTTCTTATTCTATCAAACATCAAATCCTTTAAGTAAACACCTAACGATTTAATATCCCATCTTACACTATTTTTTCAATAGTGCTGCCAGTTTAGTTTGAAGTTGGTGGAGATAGACTTCTCTTCATGATGATATCCTAGCAAAAAACAGCTCTATCCTTTAGTTAAAGGGAACTGCGCAAAGTCATCATAAAATAAAAAGTATTGCTGGACGTCTGTTCAGAAAAAAAATTATGTCATCAGATACGGAAGGCCAGCTCATTTGCTATGACACAGCTAGGAACTTTGGACTGGCTGCGGTGACTGTTTGAATTCTATGATTCAATCAAAGTACACGTCACGGGGGGGTGTCCTAACAGTAGTAGCAGTATTGTCCTAACATAGGCACCAGTTATTAAAAGTGTTAACATTATAGTTAAGTTTGGTGATGCGATGCATAAACATGTCGACGTTTACTAAAAAGTTTCCTAAAATATCAAATTAAGCGTGAAGTTGAAATAAATACTCTCAAATAAATTCAATCACAGTTTTAAACACTATCGAATGCAAATCCTTTGAATGTGAAGCTAGTAGGTATAAACTAAGTTCATTACAGCGACAGTTGGAGCCTCTTAATTGAAGGAAATCCGTTTTGATTGCATCGACGCCTGCGCAACTTGTAAATAACACGTCTAGCCGTTGCCCGTATCTTGCGTTTTGCCTATAACGCCTGTGCTAATTTACAGCTAGCCCAATCTTATTGATGTATATTAATATCAATAGAAAAATAATAATAGAGCTGATAAGAAATCTTTTTTCTGATTTACAATATTATTACTTGCGTTTACTTGCGTATCAAAAAATGTTTAAAGGTCTATGTACCTATATTATAATTAAATAGCTGATTTCCTCTTTTAGTTACGTTTTTATTATGTTTAGTTTTTCTGAGCTATTTATTTATGAGGATATTTGTGTCTTAACTTTTCTGTTTTGTTTAGTTACCTAGCAAATAAAACAATTAATTTTGCTGTGCAATATTTAATTGACCAACAAATAAATTCATTTATCTCAAATTGACATTAAATAATTTCACATAATAAACTTTAACATACTTACAAACAAATAGGTATTTACTTAAGGTACATTGTTATTGGTAATTATAATTTCTCTCACCACTGATATTATGTTTTGTAAATACTCGTAGAAGATTTAAACAGTTGTACTTTTTTAAGGGTAAATAATATTAGTGGTGAAAGAAGGAATTCTAAACTAGGCCAATATTATGTCATAGATCCCATCAAGTACGGCGAAGGTTGCGGCAATTCTAAAGATTTACTGTGTAAAATTATGATAAATACAAAAAAGTTACCATTTCATAAGAAATACGTGTCACCTTAAACCCCCCTAAACGTGCTTACGACGAAGTTTTATTACCTACGTGAAATATAATCGTACAAAGTGGAAGGCTGACTCCAGAAGAAGAGTCAAGATTGACACAAGAGTCAAAGTTTTACAAAGACTGTATCATAATTTTACACACATGACAGAATAATTAATTAATGTTTGATTTATTTTCTGATTCGCGCGTATTATAATAATTTTATTTATGAAAGAGTGAGTCTTTGTTGGCAGTAAATAGAAGATAATTTCATTATAATGTTGGGCTAGCAAGCTTAGCTTGAATTTAAAATGAAGATTACATAATATTTATTTATACAACGCGTAATCGAATTAACGTAAATTGTGAAAAATCAATTTATTATAGCAACATCAGTGTCTTTCTTAATTTTACGTGTTATCTCAATTACACGTTGCAGAATATTCTAGATACCAATGTGGCATAATTCAAAGTAAAGCTGATTTATTTATAGATACAATTATAACGATTTATATTATTTAGATTACATATTACATAATATAAGACATATTACATACATAAATACTTTAGGCCTATTAATGGTGCTTAAAATTAAATATACAGATCAATATTTACCAATAATAGCCCCGTTATTTTCTAGTTACAAAAATATTAAGCTATGCTGATGCATTTACCCTGCAATGTTGTGGAATGCATCAATTAAGTACTTAGGTATTAGAGAGTAGGTAAATATTTATAATTTAAAAGTAAATAGATTTTAATGTTACGATGTAAAGCAACCGTCAAGGCAATATTTGTTTAATAATAGAACAAAATAATGTTGGCTACGGTTTAACCCTTTACAAGGCAATGATACGTTTTGAACATTGCCTTAATACAGTTTTTAATTGAAATTGCTAGACGTTCATATAAGTATGCATAAAACCAAAAAATTGTAATAAGTGGGAATAAGTGGTTTAAGGATCCTTTAAAAAGTTTTTTTGGAAATATATACGTATCACATATACAGGTTGTTAGGTAAATGGGTATATGAGCCGACACTAGCCCATGTTAACATGGGCATATAAATGGTATGGTGAAGTCAGAAAGAAGAACGGTCACGCCCCATACAAAAAAAACCCAGACCCGACAGAAACGAGACATACCTCAGTTTATTTGTCATGTCTTAATTAGTTAAATTATATGTATATTTTTTATATTCGAAATCTATGTATAATACCAAAATATTACCCTTTGTTTTTGTTCAGGCGTTATACAAAAACTAATACAAAATGCCTATTTATCACCAAAATTGGTAAATGTATGTACCTAAATGTCTATTACAGCTGCTATGGAATGTATCTAGGTGACCTGGAGATACAGCTGGATTATACAGGGTGGTTATACATATAGAACGGTAAGTGATCTCACTCGATTATTTCTAAACTATACAAGATATCGAAAAATTAGTTACTGATTCTGAAAGTGCTTCACGAGCTCTTTCAAATGGTACCAACAATAGGTTACAGATTATGGAATCTGGTAACATTGAATTTTTGGATTTTGTAACTTCTCGTTTCCACCCTGTATAATCCGGCTGTATCTCCATGTCACCTAGATACATTCCATAGCAGCTGTAATAGACATTTAGGTACATACATTTACCAGTTTTGGTGATAAATAGGCATTTTGTATTAGTTTTTGNCCCCGTTTTTTATCGTTTCATGTGATTTTTTCGTATTATTTTTGCTTCTATTACGATAAAATTTATTTTGTATGTAGCTAAATAGATATTTTATCATCTGATTTCAAAGTTATTGTTCTAACTTATACCGTTTATGAACTATTATTGTGTGACCATCAAATTTGAGTGTAAATGAGAAGTACCCATCAATTTTCTGACTTCACCATACCATTTATAATTATGCCCATGTTAACATGGGCTAGTGTCGGCTCATATACCCATTTACCTAACACCCTGTATATCCTTTCTTTAATGTGACTATATTTTTCTTGACGATCGCCGCATATTAATATTTAATTAACTTAAAGATAACGATAGATATTGCACGAAAAGCGATGGCAATAATAATATAAGAGAGCGTAACATAATTAATTACAAGTTATATCTAAAAGAACGAATGGCAGTCTTTAATTTAATCTTACAATGTACTTATTCATAGTCATTGGTGTATATGCAACGCACCATTTATTACCTATGTTGTATATTAATTACACTTGTTAAGCCTTACGTCCATTAGAATGTAAGCAAGTTTAAAATAATATCGTAAAATTGAAAGAATAAATCATAATTTTAATTGACAGCGTGTAAGCAGAGAAATTAATAAATAGCTTAGATTTAAAATACCGCAATGTCATCATCACATTATTTACTTATTATACACCATTTTGTCAAAATTATTCTAATAGAGTCAGGTATTTAAAAACCACATACGATAATACATAATTAAACACGAAATGTACGGTGAAATGCAAAGTTATTTGTCACTTTTGGGTTTTTAAATATTATTATTTTATTTATGGTATTAAGTTGATTTTATGGAGAGTGTCATATTTTACTATTACATTATTATTCTGTGCTATTACCAATTAATGGTTAACATCTAAGAATCAAAATTAAATCATTTTTAAAAGCTACTAGTACTGATTCATAAACGTTTTTTTTTCTTCCTAATTAATGTTGTATTTTCTTTGGAAAACAAAAACATTTGTCGCTAATAAAGTGTTAGGCCGCATTACTTAGAGGTGGTAAGCTCCACCTCTCTCCGCTCAGCACGTAGCGGCGTATCAAGCTTGTTTCATTTAGGGCTGATTTTTCAGTCGTTGGATAAGAATAAGTTTGGCATATTGACAGTTTCAGTATGGGAAATATGTCAAAATGACAAATTTATTCGTCAGTTAAAAGTTATTTGTTGATTGAAAAATCAGCCCTTAAGATGTTGCTACATTGTCATAATTATCACCTGGTGCCTATACCTTGTTTGCATAACCAGGCATGTAATAATTCGGTAGGATCAACTTACAATATTCAGATCTTGGTAATGGTGAAGGAATAAATAGGTTTAAAGCAATCTACAGTGGTGCTAAACAATAGACTGAGTGACAACCAGCACTGTCAAAGAAAATGCAAAATTCCTTTACATAACAATTTAACGCATTATGCGCGTGAGTGGTAATAATGATTGAAAATATAAGTGTCATAAGTAAAGGAGACTACACTGTGCCCCTATTATTTGTATCTATATGCCGTTTGATAAGCACTTTTTGCGAGCTGAGCGCTGAACGAGTGAGGTTGAAATAGTAAAACTTTAATGACTTCGTTTTGCATTATTATATTATAATTTACGGGACGTGGAATTGACACGAACCGTTATAGTGTTTCCACCAACCTACCTAATACTCATTTTACATTACCAAACTATTCCAAAACCTTGACTTGCAATCACTGAAGTATTCCTCCATAAAGTTCTTCGCTCACGTAATACATTGACTGATACTATTAAGCTACTCACTAACCAGATCGGGCTACTTGTCCGTCTTGAGATCGGTCTTGGGAGGCGGGTAGTACTGCTGGGCGATGTCGAACAGTTCCCTTCGTAGCTGCTGCGCTTGAGACTTGAGTTGCTGTTCTCGAGTTCGGATCGCCCGGTACTGTTCCTCGCGCTCTTCTGTGTGTTGTTCGACTAGCCATCGGAGGTAGAGCTCTGAAGGAAATAAGGTATATGGTAAGTATTTTCAATAATTACTCCTGAATAAAGAAGACATACTTTTTTACGTCAAAAATGATTTGCGTATAACTATAGAGATAACCAGAGGTTTATGTGGGACTCTCCACGCCAGGGCCTGCCCACTAAAGGGCAAAGGGCTGGGCTTACTCACTAAAACAAGTCCAGTTTGAATGGCAAAACCGAATAGCTAAATTGAATGGATCTATTTTTTTTTTCGCCCGGCAGAACGGCCCGCTTTAAACGGTATGTCCCCTTGGGAAAGAGCTCTTACGGTCTGCTCTATGTCGCTACTCAATCAGCTCTGTTGATCAAAGAAGTCCCGAGAGAGTTCCACCAAAGAATGGGCTCGGGCAAACGCCCCATCAGCCTCATCGGGGGCGTAGAAGGGGTAAATTTAGGCCGGCAGCTAGGATCAATATAACAGTCTAAAGGCTGATAAGAAGATGATAAGGCCCTAAGGCTGACTGATGATGACATACAGCAAGCTTAAAAGCTGATAAGATGATGTCGTAAATGTGAAAAAGTATTTATTTCCTCACCTTCCTTCCAACATAGCTCTTCGGCGCCACCGAAGGCCATATAACGGTAGGAGTGGGCTCGTAGAGTGGGTTGATGATGTACGATGGATCTCAACGCACTGGTTGATCCACGACCAATATACCGATCCAAAGGCTATTAAGATAACGACATGGAAGCCTCAAGGCTGATAAGGTGAAGACATACAGGTCTAAGGCTGTTTAAGTAATGACATACCAGTTTAAGTGCTGAAAAGTTGATGCTATGCAGGCTTCAAGGCTGACAAGATAATGACACTCAGGTCTAGAGGCTGATGAGATAATGACATACAGGTACAAAGGCTGACAAGGTAATGACGCGAAAATGATGGGATATTCCCTCACCTTCCCATATAACGTAGCTCATGGGCGCCACGGAAGGCCATATCACGTTAGGAGTGGGGTCGTACAGAGGGTTAATGTACGCTGGAAGCTCGTCGGGCTGGTTGATCCACGACCAATATACCGATCCAAAGGCTATTAAGATAACGACATGGAGGCCTCAAGGCTGATAAGGTGAANTTTGGGAAATGAAACTTTGGCGATAAGTTGTTTGCGAAGTGAAATTTGGCGAAAAGTAATTTGGCCAAACGGAAGGATACCGTAAAAAAGTGACATTAAATGTATGACGGATCGACAGCGCCCCTAGCGGAAACGTGCAAGAACTAAAATTATCATACATATTTTTAACGCGCTCACTAGTGAAAACGTTTGATGAAAACTCAGCCCTCCCTCAGTGGGTTTACCGCCAGGGCCTGCCCACTAAAGGGCGAAAGGGTTGACGTTACCCACTAAAGACTGACGGTGTCCACCGGAGCCCAATGAAAAGGACCGCGAGTTATTGTCCTAACTTAGACATTCGTCCGCAACTCTATCGTGCGAGCCACAATGGCTTCAAGGGGACCCCCAATCCCCTCTTCTATCAAGTTTCGATCTGCTCTAAGCTGCTGTTGGCAGCTGTGAGGCAGCTCTTTTGATAAGAGAAATTCCGAGAGTGTTCCTCCAAAGAATGGCACCCCACCAGCCCCGTCGGGGGTCGTAGAGGGGGTTAATATAGAGTCTATATTATAGACCGACAGTTCGGACCAATATACCGGCCTAAAGGCTGATAAAATGATGACAAGCAGGCCTAAGAGCTTTTAACTTGTTAAGACTGACAAGATAACGAAGTGAAAGTGATAGGATATTGTCTCACCTTCCCATATAACATAGCTCATCGGCGCCACGGAAGGCGTGGGGTCGTACCACGACCAGATGTTGGTAGTTTACACCTCAAGGCAGAAAAGATGATAAAATGCAGGCTTTAAGGCTGATAAGGTGATGACATACAAGTCTAAAGGCTTAGAAGATGGCGACGTGAAAATTATTGAAATAGTGTCTCACCTTCCCATATAACGTAGCTCATGGGCGCCACGGAAGGCCATATCACGTTCGGCGTGGGGTCATACAGAGGGTTGATGTACGCGGGCAACTCGTCGGGCTGGTTGATCCACGACCAAATACTGGTGGTCTGCTCGAATACACCTCTTGATTCGCGTTCTTGTACTGTGTCGCAGATGAACGTACCTGAAAGTCAAGTTTATTTGATATTGACAATATGGGCGATATGGTTGAAAAACTAGTCAATGACATAACTTTTAAGATATGTCAAAACGCGAGTCTCCCACAGATTGTGTATGGCAATATAAGCTATTGCTATACAAAATCAACGAGAAATTTTCCAAAAGTGGAAGCGATCCGCTGCTGAACGGGTATAACGGGTCTAACGGGAACGGGTAATCGTAGGAGCCGCTCAGAGATGCCATGCACAGAACGGGTGGCCAGTTTGTAGCTATTAACGCTCTATTAGCTCTTGAAATGACACTCACCGAACTGACTTGCGTACGAGTGCTTAAACAGCGTGATCAGGTACGACTGGCGATACTCAAAGCTGGAGGGAAACTGCTCCAAGAACTGTCTAACACAATCCAGGAACAATGTGAAAGTGGGCGCAGCCTTTGGCTGGGCGGGGCCTAAAGGGCTTGTTGCAGTAGCCACTGGCCCTTTATTATCTCTTGGAGTGATTGTGATACTTACCGAACTGACTACTTACTCGAAATTGCAGGGAAACTGCTCCAGGAACTGTCTGACACAGTCCAGGAATGAGTGAAAGTGGGCGCAGCCTTTGGCTGGGCGGGGCCTAAAGGGCTTGTTGCAGTAGCCACTGGCCCTTTATTATCTCTTGTAGTGATTGTGATACTTACCGAACTGACTAGCGTAGGAGTGCTCAAACAGCGTGATCAAGTACGACTGGCGATACTCAAAGCTGCAGGGAAACTGCTCTAAGAACTGTCGCACACAGTCCAGGAACAGCGTATAAATGGACGCGGCCTTTGACTGAGTGGGTCATAGGAGCCCGTTGGAGTAGCCAATGGCCCTCTATTATCTCTTGGAGTGATTGTGATACTCACCGAACTGACTAGCGTAGGAGTGTTCAAAGAGTGTTATCAGGTACGACTGGCGGTATTCGAAGCTGCAGGGAAACTGCTCTAAGAACTGTCTAACACAGTCCAGGAACAGTGTAAATGTAGGCGCGGCCTTTGATGGGCGGGGCCGTGGGGCCGCTTTAACAGTACTTGGTATGTTACTCACCAAACTGACTAGCGTAGGAGTGCTCAAAAAGCGTGATCAGGTACGACTGGCGGTACTCGAAGCTGCAGGGAAACTGCTCCAGGAACTGTCTAACACAGTCCAGGAACAGTGTGAAGGTGGGCGCGGCCTTCGGCTGGGTGGGGCTTAAAGGGCTTGTTGCAGTAGCCACTGGCCCTTTATTATCTCTTGTAGTGATTGTGTTACTCACCAAACTGACTAGCGTAGAAGCGCTGCAGCAGCAGGGAAACTGATCTAAGAACTGTCGCACGCAATCCAGGAACAGTGTAAAGTTGGGAGGGGCCCGCTTGTAGCCAATAACGCTCTAAAAACGCTTGAAATGATACGTTCACCAAACTGACTAGCGTAGGAGTGCTCAAAGAGTGTTATCAGGTACGACTGACGATACTCGAAGCTGCAGGGGAACTGTTCCAGGAACTGTCTAACACAGTCCAGGAACAGCGTAAATGTGGTCGCGGCCATTGGCTGGGCGCAGTGGCGGCGTAGCATGGGTTGGCACCCGGGGCGATTACCCGGCGGTCATAAGTCCTAAGGCACCCCCTGGTACCCCCAGAATTTTGGGGGTTACCTACCGATTCGAAGATTGAGAGACAATCGCACCCCCTCCCCCCGTATCATGACATAAACTGCAGACTTGCCATGCAGATGTGCGCCAGTGAGTACTAATCTGCGCGACTTATGTCACCCCCTGATGCTTGGCACCCGGGGCGGACCGCCATTGGCTCTCTATTATCTCTTGTAGTGTTTGTGATACTCACCAAACTGACTAGAGTAGGAGTGCTCAAACAGCGTGATCAGGTACGACTGGCGATACTCAAAGCTGCAGGGGAACTGTTCTAGGAACTGTCTGACACAGTCCAGGAACAGTGTGAAAGTGGGCGCGGCCTTTGACTGAGTGGGTCATAGGAGCCCGTTGCAGTAGCCATTTGCCCTCTATTATCTGATTCTGATACTCACCAAACTGACTAGCGTAGGAGTGCTCAAAGAGTGTTATCAGGTACGACTGGCGATACTCAAAGCTGCAGGGAAACTGTTCCAGGAACTGTCTAACACAGTCCAGGAACAGCGTAAATGTAGGAGCGGTCTTTGGCTGGGCGGGGCCTAAGGAGCTTGTTACTGTAGCCATTAGCCCTCTATTATCTCTTGTAGTGATTGTGATACTCACCAAACTGACTAGCGTAGGAGTGCTCAAACAGCGTGATCAGGTACGACTGGCGGTACTCGAAACTGCATGGAAACTGCTCTAAGAACTGTCTAACACAGTCCAGGAATAGCGTAAATGTGGGCGCGGCCTTTGGCTGGGCGGGGCCGTAGGGGCCGCTCTAATATTGCTTAGAGTGATACTTACCGAACTGGCTAGCGTAGGAGTGCTCAAAAAGCGTGTTCAGGTACGACTGGCGGTACTCGAAGCTGCAGGGAACCTGTTCCAGGAACTGTCTAACACAGTCCAGGAACAGTGTGAAGGTGGGAGGGGCCCGCTTGTAGCCAATAACGCTCTAAAAACGTTTGAAATGATACTCACCAAACTGACTAGCGTAGGAGTGCTCAAAGAGTGTTATCAGGTACGACTGGCGATACTCGAAGCTGCAGGGAAACTGTTCCAGGAACTGTCTAACACAGTCCAGGAACAGCGTAAATGTGGGCGCGGCCTTTGGCTGGGCGGGGCCGTATGGGCCGCAGCGGTGTCGCGAACCAAACGGGTGGCCCGCTTGGAGCCATTCGCGTTCTATTAGAGCTTGGAGTCTGGAAACGAGAATTAATACTGTTTTATTTAAACTTACGCGATTCGCTTTGAAAACGCTTGTAATCCGCCAGTATGGCAAGGCTGTATGTAAGTCGGGTTGTAGCAATAATCACCTTTTTGCAACTGAATGAAATGTGCAGTAGTTAAGGCTAGTTTACGCTTTCTCTTTAATCGCCAAATGTTAATGACAAAGAAACGTACTCACCCTCTTATAGTCCTACAGTCGGGGTTAAGTATAATTTGTACTAGAGAGCAGACCAGTAGAGTAGCGTCTTCACCACGCGTGCCGTGTATTAGTACGGGCTCTGCTTTCTGTAAAAAATTGATAATTTCGTTCAGTACAATATTGTAATTTATTATGTCATGTCAAAGTTCTAGTAAATGTGTAAACATAGGTTTATAGAATTGCTATAACTTTTTGTATTGAGGCATGAATGGCATGTGAAATGTATGAAAACCATGCTTCACCTCACCCCGATCCGTTTAAGCTTATAATCTTGTTTTGTACTATCGTTTTTTAAAACCTACTTGGTGTATGTGCTGAGCGACGATGCAAGCGGTGTGCAAAGAGTTCCTGACGCTTTCTGGCCACCCGCATGACTCTAGCTTAGATATCCATTTGTCGCTTGATATTTCTCGGTCGTTGCACGCTGAAATTTAAAAATCTCGAGCTTTACATCACATAACGATGAGTAACGAATGTACAAAGCTTTAATTAAAATCTGGGATACCTTCAATTAGCTTGGAATAACTATCTAACAGTTGTTGTTGGTTGTCAACATCATCCATTGATCTGTTGTATATTTTCCATTGGGAATAATTTGAGTTACTTTCTGTACCACCACCTGAAAAAAATATACTATTTATAAAATATATTTATAAGTCTGTCGCCATAACAACAATGTTAACAGCATTGTTGTGTTCCGGCAGTTAGAGGTAAGATAGCCAGTTCCTCTGTGGTTGAGAATTCCGGGTGAAGCTCGCTTCCACCTTCGGCCTGATCATCACTTATCATCAGGTAAGATACATGCCAAGAGTTCCTCGTTTGGATAAAAAAAAATAAAAAAGCACAAAAAGATTATAATAGGACTGCTGAATAAAAGAAGTTATAATCGGTTTGTAATAAGGGGTATATTACAACCTGATAGAGCTAACTGCGCATCTCACTGGAATGTGACTCTCCCTCCCACTGTGGCGTCATGGCCGTCAAGTGTGCAGTTAACTCGACCAGTGGGTCTAGACAAAGTGCAAATTATAATCGCAAACCAGTCGAAAAGTGGTCGAAAGGCCTTTTTTTGTGGAGTTTTGACGGATTCGATTTTCGATTCGATCAAAAAGTGCATTTGGTCTAGGGGAGCTGGTTGTATATTTTATGATTTTGTTATTCGTTTACCTCTTCCAAGTTCACAGTCAAACTACTCTTCTGGACAAAGTGACTTTTTATTTCTCTTTTACCCCACTTTACTTTTTTAGGTAAAATTGCGTACCTTTACTCTGCTGCTGTGATATAGAGTTCGAGCTTCGTAAGTCGTATATGACACCCTTGGTGCCGATGGCGACGACGGTGTTCAAGATGGCTTCGTCGGGCCTGCAGCGCCGGTGCTTTGGCCCGTAGAGCGGTTGACCTGCGCGTATTAGGACTGCCTGGAATGTATTAATTTGTATGACTGATAGTAAGTACAAACCAGAAACATCTAATAAGCTATGATAACAGAACAGTGAGTGACAATGAAATAGCTAATTTCGGGAAATGTAGAAAATTAGTAGTAGTAAGTGACAATGTGTTACTACATTCAATTTGCATCTTAGAAACTACAAGTGCTAGGTGTCTCAAATTTTGCATGGGGGTTCCTTTTAGAACGTAGATGCTCACTAAGAAGGGATTTTGCAAAATTCATACCCTAAGGGGGTAAAACGGGGTCCACGCGTACGAAGTCGCGAGTAAGTCTAAAACATAGGACAGTTACATCCAATATTTTTCTATGGTTTGACTGCAAGACTTAAAATACTCCTGACTTGACTTGCCACTTGATTTTCTGCTTTCAGTGTGGATCAATTGCAATAATTGTACTCTTGCACTCTTGCAATTGCCTTTTCAGTTAAACTAGAAGTAGTTAAACAATATAACTTACCCCATTATTATGCCTGTATGAGAGCACAGGAAACCGTCCCCCTTGCCTGAAGGTGGCTGCTGCAGCTATCGTCTCATCGTCAATGTTCTTTGGAACCAAAACAGCTTTTCCGTAACTGTTGCACACTGAGTAATTTTGATTCACTCGGGATACGCGCCACTCTTCCGTTGCTAGAACCTTTGTGAACTCTCCTTCAATGCTAAAAAGAAAGATTTATTCATAGTTTTTTAAACACTGATCATAAGTGAGGGGCCACAAAAAATTCTGAATGTCACTTTGGAGCCAAAAAAATTTAGAATTTACGTAGAGTATGGCAACTGATATCAGCTTTCAAGACATAGCAGCATGCCAAAGATGGAGACAGTATCAATGATATTTATGCCAAGTATAAGTTCTCCACAATCATAATAGAATATATCTTACAAGAGTTGTATTAATGCAGCTAGAGCTAGATTAGATGCTAATACATCAAACATCTAGAATCTAGATGTACATAAATCTTTAGGTAAAAAAGCTTAACAAAATCTAAATTGAAATAACTATATTTACCTATACAGCGTATGCCCATTTTCAACAATGGGATGCATATGTCTATAAAAAAATGGGTAGAAGAGTCCAGGGTCTTGCAGACCAGACAAATTTTCCAGTGTCTGGGCCATCTGATTCAGTTCTGCAGTTGTTCCAATATCTAACTGGAAAATTTTCAGATCTTTACATTTGAGGAATAGAGAGCCTCCTTGTGGTACACCACCACTTGGTTTGTTTTCCTTCTTCTCTATGCTATCTATATTTTTGTGAAGGAGCTGAAACAGAATGAAAAATTTGTGGATTATTAAATTGTCAATTTTTTTTAATAATCTTTAGCATAAAGGCCTTTGGATACTACCAATAAAGAAATGTAAATAAAGACATACTTTTGCCTGTGACTTCGTCCCATATAATTTGGTGTCATATGTATTTTTTGTAGAGTAAGAAAAATTAAAACAATAAAAGATATGGCTGATAATAAAGCAAAAGATATCAAGGAAATCCATGAGAGATTCATCCAATGAGATTCAAGACATTTGCAGATACAAATGTACTAGCTTTTGCCTGCGGCTTCACCGGCGTGAAATTTAGTTTGTCACAGATCGTCATAAATTATAGCGTAAATGTTAATCTGGGTTATAAACAATAATACTGTAAAGTTTCAACAAAATCCGTTCAGTAGTTTTTGCGTGAAAGAGTAACAAACATCCAGACATCCTGACATCCACACAAACTTTCGCATCTATAATATTAGTGGGATTCATGTAAGAAAGTAAATGTCTATTTACATTTATTATCTGCACATATTAAATAGCAGACTTTTTAAATAGACGTTATATAACAGGTGGCATTCAATGTGATGATGATACCAATAAAAACTTCACTAAAATAACTTACTAAGCTCAGCCATAAGCCCATAAGAAATTATAATGACAATATGAATTTCGCAATGTTTGTAGTTGTTTTATTGAAATAAATCAGGGTTTATTAAAACTGCTATAGACAACATAATTATGAGAATCTCACCCATAGCTCGCGAACGCCTTCTTTTCTGGAACTCAAGATAAGGTGGTGTCCTGTAATACAAACTGTCCCATCAACATTTTCGTGATGAGGATATTTTAAAATGACACCGTCCAATTTATTTATTAATATAAGCTCGATAAACTCCATTTTACAAGAATTTGGTAAAATTATCAAATTGTTTGTAAAAATCTAAAAGCAGCTGATTTTCTGCTCTTGCCTGATTTTAACTGTCATTTACAACTGACAGTTGACAGCTGTTGTCTAGTAGCAAAATTAATAATCAAAAATAATTTTGTAACACTAAAAAACGTTTTTTGATTTAATTGTTATACTTTACGATTAAAACTACTATTAATTTTACGCAAGGTGCATAATTATTTAATTTAAATAATCACAAAGGTAAGTAATTCAATAAATAAATAAAAGCTGTGTTGGGCACTATGTGTCATTGAAAAATCAACTTTACCTGATTGCGATACGTATCAAATAAAAGAAATATGTAAAAATCGGTTACGACGCGGAAATCAGACGAAGTTCAGTTTAGTGTTTTTTCTAGCAAAAAACTGAAATAGCAATATACTCTTGCTCACGAGCTTACTACTATTCAGTGTGTCAAAAAGAGACGTGTATAGGTTTGAAAACTGAGATATAAAATCAGGTAGGCAACATTTGCCATGTAGCCAACCATAATACAGAAGTGAAGTTGTAAGCATTTGCGATGGCGATGTGTGATTTCTGTCGTTTGCGGAGAATATTTTTTTAACTTGTGTTTTTACTGATACAACGTGAGATAAATGAATGGTAAACCAAAATAAAGTGATACTACCTAAAATAGTGAAGTGAGCAAGTCGCGTTATATAGGTATCACTGCTGAATAATAACGCGAGGTGAGTTCGTCAGTGTATGTTTTGTACGAATGTACTGAAAGTAGGTATGTAGTTGGCTGGGTGTCTGAGCTTGGGTAATGACCGGTTCCCTCAATATTCAGATGTCTATTGTTAGGACATATCGTTTGGTTCTAATTCGCACCAAGTTTTACCAAAGGTTGTAATCAAAATACTGTTATTTCTTTGTCAGATGATGGAGGATAGCTCAGAGGCCCACATGGAAACAGACGTGTCTTCTACCACTGAGGATGTTCCTGGAACCCAAGAGGTATCGGGCTCTAATGGTAATGTAGACATGATTGTTATTGTTGAGAAGGTCTCTGATGATGAGAGCTCATGCAGCGATGCGACAAAAGACCATAGCAAAAAGCAATCTTCGTCCACTGACCATAAGTTGGTTCCGGACATTCCCAATCCACCTCAACCCTTACCACAGGTTGCAGAACTGCAACCACCAATGCCTGAAAAGTCTCCTTCTAAGCACACTGAGGCCCAGAAGTCACCTACAACACAAGAGCATTCTTGTAACAAAGAGGCTCTTGAAATTCCAAAAGATACACCCTCACCATCTTTAATCCGATCTGAGGAAGCTGCAGACTCTTCACCTCTTAAAGTTGATGTACAAAAATCTTCAAAAAAGAACATTACTCCTAAAAAACAAAGCCCTGTAAAAGAAGACCAAGGGAACAAAACTCCCCAAGTATCCCCCATGAAAGAACAGTTAGAGGAAACTAAAAAACCAAGCCCACAAAGAGATACTGCTCTGCAAGAAACTTCCCCAGCAATAAATGGGAATGTTGAGAATGAAAATAACATTTTGAAAGATGATGATTCCCCCCAGTCAACATCAGTCCAAATTGTTATAGAGAAAGAGCCATCTGAAGATTCACAGCCAGAAACAAACTCTGACTTAACAGAAAAAGAACACAACAAAAGTATCAGCAGGGAGTTGAAGTCTCTTATCAAGTCTGCCAAAGAATCCAAGATAATAAGTGAATGTACTCAACTGACTACAAAAACTAGGAAGTCTAGGGCTCCCTTAGATTCTGCAAACACAAGCCTCAATGTGTCTGTAGAGGCTGACAAGATACAAGACGTCAGACGCAGCAGTTCCAACTCTCAGAAGAGCAACTGTAGTGAGAAGGCTGAAAAAGTTCCAGTCAAAAGGTCAATGAGGTCACAAAATCCAGAATTTGTAAACAAGGTAAAGCAATTTTTGAACTCTGTAACTTCTAAAGTGCAAAAGGAATCTGATGAGGGTACAGATGATGATCTTGAGGAAACAAAGGTGAAGGACACTAAAAATGAATCATCACCTTATGTGCCCAAGAAGAAAAAAGTACTAGAGAATGTGGTAAGTATTTATTACTTAGTCAATTCTCTTGCAATAAAACTTTTTGCTTTATAGGAGATAGCTTTTGTTTGACAAAGTAAGTAATAATTGTCATGTTGTCTTAAAAAATGGTTGCCTCTTGTCATTAAAAATGCACTCTCAATCAGATTAAATGCTTTTTGCACAGATAATGAGTAGTCAAAATGTCAATGAATATGTAAGTTTATATTTTATTGTTATGCAGGACCAGGATAATAACAAGCTCAAGTCGGATCCGTATTGCTGGCGCTGTCATTGGGCTGTGGAGCAAGTGGCCAACGAGAAGACTCACCCACCGCTGGCATGTACGGTCTGTCCCCGTGCATTCCATTACAAATGCCTCAGCGGTGTCGAGAGAAGCAAGATCAGCCCGGAGAAGAGTTGGGTATGCCCTGAGTGCATGGCAATCCTACATGCAGAGAGCTTAGAAACCAGGTTGGTTCATTCTAGATCTTATTTTATTTATCTAGATCCATAGTCCACATATTTTTTATGAATTAATCTACCAAATGATCTTTGAGGTTATCAAATAGCATGTGGAGTTTCAGACGGAATCCAGATAAACAGTTATCTAAAATGTTGACTAGCAATTCTAAAGCCAAAAATTATGCCATCTGCCATACAAGTTTGTGAATCTTAGCTTATAATTATGTATGTTTATATTTACAGATCACAAGCAATGAAAAAGATCTCCTTGGCAACGCTGTGTGAGCTTCTGACCTTTGCTGTGGAGCGAATAATGGATCTCAATGGGGTAATTTCTTAATTTAAAGTCATTACTATGCAAATTTGGCGAAAGACTAACAACTGTTATGTGCTCATTCATAATGCTTTTGCTATTATTTTTTCTACTAACTCAATCATTTTGTTGTGCTAGTGTTTTCAGACTCATACACCACCATACATTCGAGGTAAAACCCTGCACTTTCATGCCGATTTTATTTACAATTTGGGTGAGGTTTCTTTGTGATGTTGATTGATTTTTACCAGTATCTGAATGTAACTAAATAACATAAAATTTCGTAATGTGTCTTTGGTATTCAAGTAAACAAAATTACTACTAGGTATAAAGCCATTGAAATATTTGATAATATTCTCTAAACATCATAGATGCTTTACAATGAAATGTCTACTTTCACCATAGCATCGGTGCAACAACGGGCAGTCGTATTAAAATGTATATTGCGACGCCGATCCGCCGACGCGGGCGGGACTCGGCTCGGCGGAATGACCTTGCTACTTATCTACGTGGTATACGAACAACGCTCGGCTCCGAACGTAGCCTTNATCGCCTTCTCTTTTCAACCACGCGAATCGATAACAGCGCGTCTGTATACCCGTCCCTTTCTAATCTAATAATAAACACACGTCTATCACCCTCGTGTACACGACATGCGCATTGCGTGTGTGTGCGCGCTTAATTTTTCTTGATTCATCATTTTGTCAAGCTTTCCTATTAGCAGATGTCTGTTCAGAAATTGGAGGCGTCTTTTGCACATCACGAAAATTATGACGATGCACGAGATACCGAATAAGTTTCATATCACATACTAACGTGAACGCATTAATTGAATGTGATTAAATCACATTCAATTAAAGTCTAACATTAATCATTACTAACAATTTCATTTTCACTACGTCAATAATAATAAAATTATTGAAATACATATTAATCGGCATTTATCGTATTGACCTACTCAAAGACTGTGTGATTGGCAGACAGAAAGTGTTGATACAAACTAAACACGTCGTACGTGATCTCGCGTCTGCCGAAAGAAATGCCTTTTCGTGACGTCACGATCGCACCAGCCGCTTTAGCAGGTGCGCCGACCGTTCGCAAATATGCTGCGCCTCGGCTACATTCAATTTTGCCCTGAATAATATGCTATATTCATCGCACAAATGCTTTCGACCAATTAAATTTGCTGCATAACAGTTGTCCTATAGAAAATCGAAAATGGTGACCCATTATGACTAATTATGTATTATGGTTTCTTTTTAAGTTAATTGTTCAAAAGAGGTTGTACCTATATCCTGTAGTTTTTGGTTTGTGTAAAAAGAATTAATTTGTGTATTAAACAGAAGTTTTCACCCCACTATGTACGTACATACTATATTCGAGTTTACATTTTTTATTTTAGTTATTTACACTACTTTTTGTTGTTTTCAAAACGGATCAGTCGATTGGAACGATATCGCTTGCGTAATCAAATAATAAACTATGCACCTTTCCTGTTTGTAATGAGTATAAAAACGTCTTTAAAAATTATTCTTGTCGCATGTTTAATTGATCTTTTTGTCATAGATTCATCTTGATAAACTTTATTGCATTGAAATATTTGCTGCTAAATTGTCATTGATAACTCGATATAAAGTCATCCTCATTTACATTCTAATAACAACGCAATATGTACTTTATGTGATGCTTGGATGGGCATCCCTTTCATTCGCATAATGTTATTACTTCTAATATACTTTGGCATATTATTTTGCCGCAATTAACCGATTAAACTTGGATATTAGTGTCAAAATAGGGTAAGGTAGGCCAAGTAAATTTTGTATTATGCGTAATAAAATTATGCCAAGATATATTATGGCTAACATTTTTATGCAAATGGATAGAGAACCGCTTGCGATGACTATAAAGCAAATACTTTACAATTACTAATGTATTTGAAAATTTTGATATTACAGGTGGAACCATTCATGGCGCCCGTGGATCGCACCCTATTCCCAGACTACGACAAGTATGTTGTTCACCCCATGGATCTTCTGCAAATGAAGGCAAACATTGCTGACGCTGTGTACGGCAGCACAGAAGCCTTCATAGCAGACGCGCAATGGATACTCCACAACAGCATTATATTCAACACATGTGAGCTGGGTTTTGGTCTGTCTTGATTTTTATTTTTCTTTAGCTTTACGTGTAGATTGTAAGGTTGTGAGTGGGAAGGACGATCGGTGTTTGCTTTGCTGATTTTTTTATATTGCGTAAGTTAGAAATTAATAGTTTTAAGTTAATTTTATTGTAGCATGTAAGCAATTTCCTAGTATTTTTTATGTAGGTACCTTCAGTGTTATTATGTAATAATAATTAATTATATTTAAACTTATTTATGTATATTTGTGTAATAAGTTATTTGTAATAGCCAATTGCTATCGAATATCATATTTCATGCAATAAAAGTAATTTCTTTAGTTATTAACTGTTGAATATTGAAGCGTCATATAAGTATTACAATATTAAAATGTAATTTGGATTTAACTGTGAAATGATGTCCTAAAGTTTATCAAAGAAATGGAGTAGTTTAAAGTAAAAGAAAAATATCCTAAAAGGTTCAATTTCTATATCAATATCTATTATATTTACATATGTATTTATCAATATAAAAAGTCGAGTGATGTCATCAATTTTACGGTCCCATAAACGTTTACAGTCCAATCAAAGCTGACAGCGGCCGCGCGGACCTTAGTTCGCTCCTGCCGTCTGGAGATGGGGGAAATTGAAGCGTGTCCAGAGTGCTACGCGGCGGCACACGCTCGCAAACCCACGTGGTTCACTGATGTCTGCACCACACCACACATGCTGCTGTGGGCTAAACTGAAAGGTCAGTGAACTGTACGGACCTTAGTCCGCCCCTGCCGAGCGGAGATGGGGGTAATTGATACATGTCACGAGTGTGATACAACCGACCTTAGTTCGTTTCTGCCGAGTGGAGATGGGGGAAATTGAAGCGTGTCCAGAGTGCTACGCGGCGGCGCACGCTCGCAAACCCACGTGGTTCACTGAGGTCTGCACCACACCACACATGCTGCTGTGGGCTAAACTGAAAGGTCAGTGAACTGTACGGACCTTGGTTCGCTACTGCTGAACGGAGATGGGGGAAATTGATACGTGTCCAGAGTGCTACGCGGCGGCGCACGCTCGCAAACCTACGATGTTCACCGACGTCTGCACCACACCTCACATGCTGCTGTGGGCTAAACTGAAAGGTCAGTGAATTGAAGAAAGAGACGTAACGTCAGACCGGCAAATGCTTTCATCACCATGGCGTGTAATACCACCCCACACATGCTGCTGTGAGCTAAACTCAAAGGTCAGTTAACTGTACGGACCTTAGTCCGCCCCTGTTGAGCGGAGATAGGGGAAATGAAGCGTGTCCCGAGTGAAACAAGTGGCGCACGCACGCAAACCCACGTGGTTCACCGATTACTTTAGCAGTTTAGCAAAACTCGAAGGTCAGTTTCCGTATGTAACGTTAGATCGGTAAATTATTTCATCACTAAAACTTGTACAGTAGTGTCATATAGTTCGTGACACTACGTCAAGCCAAGCCAAGTCAAGCCAAGTGGCCAAAAAGTTGACACAAAGGCGTGTTGCGAACTTTTTGGTTGTCTCCATACACACACATGCTGTGGGCTAAACTGCAAGGTCAGTGAACTGTGTGAACCGGTAATCGGCAAATGCTTTCACTATAGCGTGTTACTCGCGTGTTGTCCGAAAGCAATTTATTTGCACACAAACTTTTGACTGATTACATTTCCTACAAGAAGTTTGTTAAAGTCATTTAAATTTAATAAACGATTGAATATTGATCTCCAAATATGTAGTTCTTTCATTCGTCTTGATAATTCAGCTTCGGCCCTAACTTCTAAAATCTGTAATTTCTTTCCTTTAGGCGCATTAGGGATAATTCTCATTATGGCAACCGACTTGACTACTAACTCTCCTCTCATTATGATAACATTCTCAGTCAGTATGATTTTGAGAGAAAGAAAAAAGATAAAAAAATGTGTTTTCTTGGAATGATACATGACATGATTTAGTAAAGAACATCTTGCCAATTATACCTATTCATTAGAATAAAGATTATACTCAAGTTGTCACATTACCTTCCAGGTTTCCCATACTGGCCAGCGAAGGGCATGTCCGTCAATAACTCTGGTCTGGTCGACGTGCGTTTCTTCGGCGCGCACGACCGCGCCTGGGTTCCAGCTAAGGACTGCTTCTTGTATTCTGAGAAGGACCCCAACAATTTCCGCACTAAGCGCCAAGATATACTGGATAGTATGCAGGTGAGATATGCTTTACTTTTGTTTTCGTTTCAGCTAAAACTATGAACGTTTGAAAATGCCTCGGGTCAATATGACCCAATCTAAGTCATGCTCTAAACTCTAGCTCACGATTTTCATAGTGCTGATTTTGTACCAATAAATTCTCGAGTGGCGACCGCTGGCCAGAAGACGTAGCGTGGGCAGGCCTCCCACCAGGTGGACCGACCATCTGGTGAAGGAAGAGCCTGGATGCAGGCAGCGTAGGACCGGTCGTTATGGAAATCTTTAGGGGAGGCCTTTGTCCAGCAGTGGTCGTCATTTGGTTGAAACGAAGTTGGTGTAGTTTTGAACCAACCACGAAAATTCATATTGAAAATTTATTTCAATTCTTTACTTTTATGACATTTACACTTATCATCTGATAAACCAGGCTACACATTATAACATAACGCCCATATAATGCTAAATCTAACGTAACCCATTGTGTCAAACAATGGATTACTTGGGGGGTATAACATGGCACATTCATATTGCTAGCGCACGCTTTGAAGTTGTGTGTGATTCGGACACATTTGACCCATATGAATCATAGATCTATATCATTTCAGCCAATTACAATCAGCTGTATTGTCAAATCTTCCTTCTTATTCTTTCAGGAAGCCGAGCAGCACATTCGCAACATATCGCGCAAGTACGGCAAGTTTGTGTACCCGCCCTTCAAGACGCAGTTCGATCCGTCCCGGCTAACCGAACAACTTAAAATGATGGTAATGTAATTTTAAAAACAATTGTTACTTTTAATTCCCCTTAACATCTCTGTACTCATCACTCCCCAATCGGTCGCATATGACCGCGTAACAATAGGGATGTTTCCTGGTAAAAAAGCAAGAGTTTTAATTAGTCCGTCAGTTAGCTTATCAAAAACCACTCGACACGTATTTTTCACTTTTTTAAACTAATGAAAATGTAAAGAGATAAAGCGTGGCAAAGTTCTAAAGAAAAGGCTCGTGACGTCAGTCAGTGCGTAAAAGTGCAGCACTTTGTGACGTCGCGCGGAACTTCAACGCACTATAACCACAGCTATAACTTTGTAATTATTTGTTTGATTGACAATTAAAAATATGTGTTCAATATTTCTTTATATTAAAATTGACGGACTAAAAAAAATTTTTAGGAAACTAGCCTATTGATTGACTGCAATGCGAATCTTCATAAATTGTAAACAAAATGACGTACAATTTATGCAAAATGCTCATTCAAATGGTTTCTAATCTAACACTTTTGAGTCATATCAGTAAAACTCAATTCCCTGATTCAATCTGTATTTTTTTTTTTATTATTTTAATTGTGAATTCATAAAATGTTATCATTTCAGATTCCATCGTTCGAGGGCGAAGTAAAGGTGTCCATGAAAGAAAAGCCCTCGATTGCTTCACCAAGCATGGTGAAAGACAAACGGTGCTCAAAAAGCTCTAAGAGCTCTCACAATGAAGGGTATGTACCAAGAACAAAATTTAAATGTTTTTGCCAAATAACTTGAACTAAAAACAAAACGGAATATTTGCACATTTTAATATTTGGATTGATATTATTATGTTTTATCGAAATATTCCAGGGAAGCTAGTGACACAGAAGAAGGGTCGACCGTAACACGCAAAATGGCGGATGGAGCGGATATTGCTAGAATAGAAGAAGACACGTCTGAGAAGTAAGTTCTCTAACTTCTTAATTTTACTTGAAAAAGTAACTAATTAGACCAGGTGATCCCATTTACCAGGCGTAGCCAGCTGAATAAACTAGTTGAGTTTCCACATAAGCCAAATAAATAGGAACCTATTGGCTAGAAATTTTCTGAATCTGAACACCATCATACAAAAGTCAAAATTTTCCCTACTCATCTGATCTACTTCTAATCCACATTTTTTTTCTTTTACAGGGACAAACCAATGGAAGTAGACCCTAAACCTGCAGAATCTGAAAAACCTGAGAAACCATCAAGAAAACGCCGGCGGTCGCAAATGGAAGAAGTATCCGTTATGACCGTCATGGAGCGCAGCACAAAAGAGAAAAAAAAGAAAATCAAGACCGAGGACGAGAAAAAAGTTGATATAAAAGAAGAATCTCAAAGTTCCACCGCCAGTGGCGCAGAAGAACCTAAAAATACACCAACTAAGGTGTACTCTAAAACAAAGTCGGATAGTCCTCAAGCAAAAAGCAAAGGCAGCGAACAAACTAACGGCATCTCAGATAAAGAAAAAAATGCAAAGCTTACTCCAATCAGGCTAGTAATATCAACCAACCAAAAAAGAGTAGTCGCGAAAACAACAGGCCGAGGCAGCCCAAAGGTTTTACCCATTAGAATAAAACAGACGAAGCTGGATAAATCGATCGTCGTGACCAAAACTAAATCCAAAGACGAAAAAACAAAACAACAGAAGCGTAGGAATTCTAAAGGCAAAGACAAGTCAATGAATATTGGTACTGCTTCTGTGACAACAGAAAAGAAAGATGAAGAAAACAAGAATAGTGAAAACACTGTAGAACCTGAGAAAAACAAAGATAAAAAAGAAAGTAACAAACAAAAGGAGGATGCTAAAAAGTCGTCTTCAGAACAATCAAACACGCCAAATGTTAACGCAGAAACTCCCAAAACGGGCAAAGAACGCCCTCAATTCGATGATAATACGAGTTTAGCTGAATTGGCAAGGGGCTCCAATAGAAAAGGCGTTACAAATAGTAACGTGCACGGCCTGCCCACTATTAGCTGCGTGAGGAGTCTTTCGACGACCGCTCAGGATACCAGTACTACCACGACAAAAACTACAACGCCGTCTAAAATGATCGAAGTGACCATCGAACCCAATAGTTTGCTCACTCCCATGAGTAGCAGTAACGTTCAAAACGTGAAAGAGACGACGCCCAAAACGGCCGAGCCGTCTATGGTAGGCCGAGTGGGCGTTCGCGCGTTTGCCAGATTGAAGTCTCCTGAAACCGAGAAAAACAAGAAAAAGGAGGTCGAGGTGGAAATCAAAGCTGAGCCCATGGACTTTGAAGATCAAGAGCGCCAGATGGAAAAAGTGAATATGATGAAAACGTTCAAACTGAGGCCAGTGAATCAGGTCGCCGCGCAGAACGTGACTAGTTTGCGGGAAGTGAGGATAAATAAGGTGGTGATGACGCCATTGAATGCGCGAAAGACGGCGACTAAGGCTGTGGAGGTGCGACCTAGGGCTCGGAAGACGTTCCCTCAGCCGAAGAAAGCGGACGATGGGAGGAACGAGTTGAATAGTAAGAACTCGATGGTGTATATTCCGATTCAGCCGCCGATGACGCCGGGCCCGTTGCGAGTCCGCGCNCTCGTCGGGCTGGTTGATCCACGACCAGATGCTGGTGGTCTGCTCGAATACACCTCTTGATTCGCGCTCTTGTACTGTGTCGCAGATGAAGGTACCTGGAAGTCAAGTTTATTTGATATTGACAATATGGGCGATATGGTTGACAAACTAGTCAATGACATAACTTTTAAGATATGTCAAAACGCGAGTCTCCCACAGATTGTGTATGGCAATATAAGCTATTGCTATACAAAATCAACGAGATATTTTCCAAAAGTGGAAGCGATCCGCTGCTGAACGGGTATAACGGGTCTAACGGGAACGGGTAATCGTAGGAGCCGCTCAGAGATGCCATGCACCGAACGGATGGCCAGCTTGTAGCCGTTAACGCTCTATTAGCTCTTAGAGTGACACTCACCAAACTGACTAGCGTAGGAGTGCTCAAACAGCGTGATCAGGTACGACTGGCGGTACTCGAAACTGCATGGAAACTGCTCTAAGAACTGTCTAACACAGTCCAGGAATGGTGTGAAAGTGGGCGCGGCCTTTGGCTGGGCGGGGCCTAAAGGGCCTGTAGCAGTAGCCATTGGCCCTCCATTATCTCATGGAGTGATTGTGATACTCACCAAACTGACTAGAGTAGGAGTGCTCAAACAGCGTGATCAGGTACGACTGGCGATACTCAAAGCTGCAAGGAAACTGCTCTAAGAACTGTCGCACACAGTCCTGGAACAGCATATAAATGGACGCGGCCTTTGGCTGAGCAGGTCATAAGAGCTCGTTACAGTAGCCATTTGCCCTCTATTATCTCTTGGAGTGATTGTGATACTCACCAAACTGACTAGCGTAGGAGTGCTCAAAAAGCGTGATCAGGTACGATTGGCGATACTCGAAGCTGCAGGGAAACTGTTCCAGGAACTGTCGAACACAGTCCAGGAACAGCGTAAATGTGGGCGCGGCCTTTGGCTGGGCGAGCTGTAGGGGCCGATCTAATATTGCTTATTAGTGATACTTGGTGAGTATCACTAATAAGCAATATTAGATCGTACGAGTGTTCAAAGTCAAACAGCGTGATCAGATACGACTGGAGGTACTCGAAACTGCAGGGGAACTGTTTAACACAGTCCAGGAACATTGTAAAGGTGGGCGCGGTCTTTGACTGAGCGGGGCCATAGGGGCCGCTTTAACAGTACTTGGTATGATTCTTACCAAACTGACTAGCATAGGAGTGTTCAAAGAGTGTTATCAGGTACGACTGGCGATACTCAAAGCTGCAGGGGAACTGTTCTAAGAACTGTCTAACACAGTACAGGAATAGCGTAAATGTGGGCGCGGCTTTTGGCTGGGCGGGACCGTAGGGGCCCGTTGCAGTAGCCACTGGCCCTCTATTATCTCTTGGAGTGATTGTGATACTTACCGAACTGACTAGCGTAAGAGTGCTCAAACAGCGTGATCAGGTACGACTGGCGATACTCAAAGCTGCAAGGAAACTGCTCTAAGAACTGTCGCACACAGTCCAGGAACAGCATATAAATGGAGGCGGCCTTTGACTGAGCGGGTCATAGGAGCCCGTTGCAGTAGCCACTGGCCCTCTATTATCTCTTGGAGTGATTGTGATACTTACCGAACTGACTAGCGTAAGAGTGCTCAAACAGCGTGATCAGGTACGATTGGCGATACTCGAAGCTGCAGGGAAACTGTTCCAGGAACTGTCTAACACAGTCCAGGAACAGCGTAAATGTAGGCGCGGCCTTTGGCTGGGCGGGGCTGTAGGGGCCGATCTAATATTGCTTATTAGTGATACTTGGTGAGTATCACTAATAAGCAATATTAGATCGTACGAGTGTTCAAAGTCAAACAGCGTGATCAGATACGACTGGAGGTACTCGAAACTGCAGGGGAACTGTTTAACACAGTCCAGGAACATTGTAAAGGTGGGCGCGGTCTTTGACTGAGCGGGGCCATAGGGGCCGCTTTAACAGTACTTGGTATGATTCTTACCAAACTGACTAGCATAGGAGTGCTCAAAAAGCGTGATCAGGTACGACTGGCGGTACTCGAAGCTGCAGGGAAACTGCTCCAAGAACTGTCTAACACAGTCCAGGAACAGCGTAAATGTAGGCGCGGCCTTTGACTGGGCGGGCCGTAGGGGCCGCTCTAATATTGCTTAGAGTGATACTTACCGAACTGACTAGCGTACGAATGTTCAAAAAGCGTGATCAGGTACGACTGGCGATACTCGAAGCTGCAGGGGAACTGTTCCAGGAACTGTCTAACACAGTCCAGGAACAGCGTAAATGTGGGCGCGGCCTTTGGCTGGGTGGGGCCGTATGGGGCCCGTTGCAGTAGCCACTGGCCCTCTATTATCTCTTGGAGTGATTGTGATACTTACCGAACTGACTAGCGTAGGAGTGCTCACACAGCGTGATCAGGTACGACTGGCGATACTCAAAGCTGCAAGGAAACTGCTCTAAGAACTGTCGCACACAGTCCAGGAACAGCATATAAATGGACGCGGCCTTTGACTGAGCGGGTCATAGGAGCCCGTTACAGTAGCCATTTGCCCTCTATTATCTGATTCTGATACTCACCAAACTGACTAGCGTAGGAGTGCTCAAAGAGTGTTATCAGGTACGACTGGCGATACTCAAAGCTGCAGGGAAACTGTTCCAGGAACTGTCTAACACAGTCCAGGAACAGCGTAAATGTAGGCGCGGCCTTTGGCTGGGAGGGGCCGTAGGGGCCGCTCTATTATTTTTTGGAGTGATACTCACCAAATTGACTAGCGTAGAAGTGCTCAAAAAGTGTTATCAGGTACGACTGGCGATACTCGAAGCTGCAGGGAACCTGTTCCAGGAACTGTCTAACGCAGTCGAGGAACAGCGTAAATGTGGGTGCGGGCTTTTTACAGTAGCCATTGGCCCTCTATTGTCTCTTGGAGTGATTGTGATACTCACCAAACTGACTAGCGTAGGAGTGCTCAAAGAGTGTTATCAGGTACGACTGGCGATACTCGAAGCTGCAGGGAAACTGCTCCAGGAACTGTCTAACACAGTCCAGGAACAGCGTAAATGTAGGCGCGGCCTTTGGCTGGGCGGGACCGTATGGGCCGCAGCGGTGCCGCGAGCCGAAAGGATGACCCGCTTGGAGCCATTCGCGTTCTATTAGAGCTTGGAGGCTGAAAATGAGAATAAATATTGTTTTAACTGACGCGTAAAGTCGACACTTGACTACACATCGGACTGTACATAGTTGCAAAATAGCATCATTTAAAACTGAATGAAATGTAGTGCCAGTGTATTAATAAGGCCAGCTTTCACGTTTTTTTATGGTGCCCCCAAAAGTATTATTAAATCAAAAAGAAATGTACTCACCCTCTTATAGTTCTACAGTCGGGGTTAAGTATAATTTGTACTAAAGAGCAGACCAGCAGAGTAGCGTCTTCACCGCGCGTGCCGTGTATTAGTACGGGTTCTGCTTTCTGTAATAAAGAGTTGACTCGTTTAATGTTGATCAAATTAATCTGGTCAATCTCAGTGCAAAATTTGAAATGCAACCTTAAGTCTAGTTTGATAAATACTATTTTAGAAACCTACTTGGTGTATGTGTTGAGCGACGATACAAGCGGTGTGCAAAGAGTTCCTGACACTTTCTGGCCACCCGCATGACTCTAACTTAGATATCCATTTGTCGCTTGATATTTCTCGGTCGTTGCACGCTGAAATGTTAAAAATCACGAGCGTTAAATCACATAACGATGAGTAACGAATGTACAATGCATTAATGAAAATCTGGGATACCTTCAATTAGCTTGGAATAACTATCTAACAGCTGTTGTTGGTTGTCAACATCATCCATGGATCTATTGTAAATTTTCCACTGGGAATAATTTGAGTTACTTTCTGTACCACCCCCTGCAAAAATATGCCATTAATAAACAAAAAGATTATATAGGACTGCTGAATAAAAAGAGTTATAATCGGTTTGTAATAAGGGGTATATTACAACATTATACAGGGTGTTAGGTAAATGGGTATATGAGCTGACACTAGCCCATGTTAACATACGCATATAAATGGTATGGTGAAGTCAGAAAATTGATATCATCATTTTATTTTTTTAAATGTTCATACAAAATAAAATTTATAAAATCAGATTTGTATGAACATTAAAATAATTAAAATGATGATATCAATTAGAGATGAAACGGATATCCGGTAACTATCCGGTAGGCCGGATATCCGGCCTCAATTTACTATCCGGCCGGATACCGGATAGTAGCTCACTTTCCGGCCGGATACCGGATATTTAAAAACTACGACAATTTCCTATAATAAAATGAAATACATTAATCTTTTGAGGTAAATATCAATACAATGGCCTAAANCTCGTCGGGCTGGTTGATCCACGACCAATATACCGATCCAAAGGCTATTAAGATAACGACATGGAGGCCTCAAGGCTGATAAGGTGAAAACATACAGGTCTAAGGCTGTTTAGGTAATGACATACCGGTTAAGTGCTGGTAAGTTGATGCTATGCAGGCTTCAAGACTGACAAGATAATGATACACAGGTCTAGAGGCTGATGAGATAATGACATACAGGTGCAAAGGCTGACAAGGTGATGACGCGAAAATGATGGGATATTCCCTTACCTTCCCATATAACGTAGCTCATGGGCGCCACGGAAGGCCATATCACGTTAGGAGTGGGGTCGTACAGAGGGTTAATGTACGCTGGAAGCTCGTCGGGCTGGTTGATCCACGACCANATGCGCGAAAGACGGCGACTAAGGCTGTGGAGGTGCGACCTAGGGCTCGGAAGACGTTCCCTCAGCCGAAGAAGCCGGATGATGGAAGGAACGAGTTGAACAGCAAGAACTCGATGGTGTATATTCCCATCCAGCCGCCGATGACGCCGGGCCCGCTGCGGGTCCGCGCGCCGGTCAGCTGTGCCAATGGACCGATGACCGTCTCGACAGGACCGAGGCCAATGGCTCCCATAATGACTACTTCTCGTAAGTATAAAATCATCGTTATTTGTTTAAAATCTACGAAACATCTTGGAGATTTTCTTAGTTAAGAACTTCGCCATTCGCATGGATGGCAGTTAAACAGTATTCTTAAAAATAGGTACGCCCTGTAGATATAGCGGCACATCGCTTTTCTTAATACTTTTTTGCTTCTTTATTCAGTGTCTTTAACCTAATTAACATTCTAATACTCCACGAAGCAATCACGAAACTAAATCTGTCACTAATGCTACTTAATGCTAAGTTCAGATGGTCGCGCTCCCACACAAAAGAGTTTCTGTTATTACATAAGCACGCGTGTTATTATGTGTCCAAGATATGCATCTAAGGCTGAGTTGCACCAACTTTGACCGTAACTTCAACAATAACCGGTGCTTTTTATGGAGTTTGACATTTGTTAAAGTCAATATAAGATGGCGCAACTCAGCATAAATATTTATCGATACTAGTGATTCGTGCCAAGCTCATCTATACCCTACATCCCTAATTACAGCGAACAACATAGTGAACACCGTGACAACGCCGCTAGTGCCGTCCAGTGTGCCGCCTCTCGTCACGCCGACCTCATTGCCTCTACCCACCTCGTCTATGGTCACCAACCCACTGCCACTGGTGCAGGTGGGACAAGTCCCGACTACCGTACATAGGGTGCCGCTGATCACGTCTGTTAATGGACAGTGGACGTTCAGTCTGCAACCGATTATGTCGGTTGGAGGAGGGATGGATGTAAGTATTAGGTATATCTTTGTCTATTCTAACGTCCGTATTCACAATCGAGGCTTGCTTATGTGAAACAGCAAATAAAACGCACAGCGTTGAATAGAGCTCTGTGATTGATTCATGTGTCACCCTGTGCGTCCACGCGCACTGTGAGACCTCATAGTAATGTTTTTGAATACGGGTGTTAGTTTGCTTACTCTCTACTTTTCTATTTGACTGCCAATGGAATCATGTAACTTGGCTTAATTTGTTTGGGCAATTTAAACCAGTAGTTTTTTTTTTACATAATTTTAATAAAACTATAAAACAAGCCTCGTTAGTCCAGTTCGTGCATTTTTTTTTAAATACGTCATTTGAACATAAGAATAAATATTTTACCTTTTTTCAGCCCTTAATGTCTATCTTTTAATAATTGAGAAACTCATTCAAATACCAAGAACTGAAAAAGTCCCATGTCCAGTGTCCAGCACTTTATCTCAATGAAATGTGTCACGATATACAATAAAAATCGACCTCTCTTCTCTTACAGGATTCGTCAACCCCACCGCTGCTAAACGGCCTCCCAGAGCGTCCCAACCCACCAATGACCATCACTCCACTACCGCCGGCGTCTACCGTTCCGGCTATTATACCGACGCCTACCGTTGTACCGGTACCGGGCCCGCCGGTCATAGTGACCAATACGCCTAACGCTTCTAATACGGCCAACGTATCTAACACGGTTAACGTGACGAATGCGTCTAACTCGCCAGTGCCGGCTTTGACTTCGGCGAATAATACGACGCCGAACTCGAGGACACCGGATAGTAACACGGCCAACCCTGGAGAGGTAAGTGTCTTGGTCAATATAAATCTATAATATACAGTCTCAGTTTGTTTGGGATCAGTTAATACATACAATTCTTATAATTTCTTAGCTTGTTTTTTAAATAGACTTCTTGTACAAAATTAAAACAGGTTTCAGTATTATTTATTATTATCATTATTGGCCACACGCCAGTCTGACTCCGCCCACTTTGATATGAATTCGCATCCGTAAAAGCTCCGCACTATTTAATGCGGATGAAGATATCTCGAATTAATGGATACGGATACCCATAAAGACTTGTTCGTACTAGTCGAGTAATTTAGTACAGTAACTCGCTCTTAGTAACTAAACTACTCGCTGCTGACCAAAAAACCGTTCGCACTTTGGTCGAGCACAGTTTACTTGTAATTAGTGATGTTTGTATGAACTCGACTAAACCGCCCGCTTCGGACTCGTTTAGGCGATGAGAGAATGAGCAGGGATGCGTGGTGGGGTGTGCCACTCGCCTATCATAATATAACAAAATGGATTGGTTCGACTAAAACGGTTAAGTACTCTACTACATTTTTGGTGTTCGGACACGTTAAGCTACTCGATTACTCGTCACTCGACTAAATTACTTGACTTGCGAACCAGGCTTAAGCCTTGATCACACGTACCGAGTAAACGGGCGAGACATTAAAATGTTTACTCGGTCGAGACAGTTGGGTGAGCGAGTCACATACTCGATATTCATACACACCGAGTACTCGGCAGAGAGCACTGTCTCGCCCGTTTGCTCGGTACGTGTGATCAAGGCTTTAACACCTCGGTGTCAACCATCTAATTTTTACGTATCTTTAGTTCCCGCAGCCTCCAAGACTGCAGCAGCGGCCAGTGCTGCTAAACCCGCTGGACTCGCTGACGCCCATCGGCAACGTGCCGCCGCCCTCCTCCGTCGGCCCGGTCACTGCCAAGCTCAACCAGAACGCCGTCAAGGTAAGGAACTCTTTAGTAGAAGGATTCGATGATTATATCCATTGGATATATGGTCTGCGCCTAGTCTAAATTGGATATTATCCAATTTAGACTAGGCGCAGACCACCGATTTTTAATTGGCCGATAGTTGGCCCCGATTTTAATTTGTATGAAGAATGTGTAATGTGCGCACTCCCATACATACCCATACTGATCAACTGCCCGACTAAACTATCGGCCGACGAAAAATCGATGGTCTGCGCGTAGGCTTAAAAGAATAACTAGACAGTAGACACTGAATCTGGGGAAACCATGAGCTATCAAGACACTGTTCCATAGAGCTATTGCTGCTCCATAGAGTTAGTAAACATACAAAACACAAATCAAACTATACAGCTTTTTGGATCAACATCGATTTACATCATAATAGCACAAAAAATATCTATCTAATAGCGATATTTCATATTTTCAGTTAACGGACTTCTTCCGGACGTTGCTGGAAGACTCCCTGGAGAAGTTGGACGACCCGGCGACGCAGGTGACGACGCTGAAGCTGCAGAGCGAGCAGATGGCCTGGCGCCATCAGCAAGAGATTGAAGAGATGAAGCACAACCACGGTATGTTGATGTTAGGCTCTTTAACCGCTCGAGTCCCAGACGGCATTCATTAATGTCATAACAATTGATTATCTATTGTGTCTAGATTCGCGGGCCTTGAAGGATTAAGCCTAGGCGCAGACACCCGATTTTTCTTGGGCCGATAGTTTAGTCGGGCAGTTAATCAGTATGGGCATGTATGAAAGTGCGCACATTACACCGATTTGATTTGGCAGATTCTTCATACATATAAATCGGGCCCAACTATCGGCCAACTAAAAATCGGTGGTCTGCGCCTAGGCTAACGCCCAATGCAGCATACCTTCAGCAACAATAGGAAGGTATACGCCCGTATTCACAAACATTACTATGAGGTCTCACAGTGCGCGTGGACGCACAGGGTGACACACGAACCAATCACAGCTCTATTCAATGCTATGCGTTCGATTTTCTACTTTACTTAAGCAAGCATCATTTGTGAATACGGGCGTTAGTCCCCACAGTAAGATAACGAGTAACTTACACGAGGCAACTTAGCCCGGTTTCCACCAAAGCAGAGCAGAGCGGAGCGGAACAAAAGAAAAGTGAAAATAATGAATTTGGTTGGTTATTCAAAACACTTCTCTGCTTGGCCTTGGTGGAAACCGGTCCCTACACCCCCCACGCTGACCAAATAGGTTGAGAATTGAGGAGGCCTGAGGGCCGAAATAAGTGGCAATTTTTGATCGCACTGAATCCCTTCACGGAGCGAAGTAAGGCCATACAAAAAACGCCGGAGTGAAGGCCTTTCGAAGTCACGTTTGCCACTTGTCTATGGTGGCTGGGAGCTGATGTTATTATACATAATTTCTCCCTTAGAAATTGAAGCTATAGGGAGGCAGAATCGCCACCAATCAATTGACACTCTTTTTATAAGCTCTCAAAACGATTAATTTTAAGTCTTCCATAGATTTTGTCTATGTCCAAATCAACAATGCAAACCTATTTTGTCTTATTATATCGATCAACGTGGAAAGCATTGGGGGAGGTCTATGTTCAGCAGTGGACGTCCTATGGCTGAGATGATGATGATGAACCTATTTTGACTTAATTGACTATTCTATTAAAATACTCTTTGTCCATCAGAACTTGTCTTGGCGGAGATGAGGGCGTCGTATGAAAAAGAGAAGGCGCGAATGATGTCCGAAATGCGGCGCGTGGCGCAGACCGAGCTCGAAGCGGCCGTCAAACAGGCCAAGGCCAAGCAGTGGTGAGTAAGCCGTGTGTACTGTAAAGTGGAATAAGCCTATCTAGGGATAAGCTTTAGTTCGTCCGATGTTGATGCGGTGTCTATGAGTAGGACAAAATGTACACGACAATCAAGATTTGGTATGTGAATAGGAGTCTCGTCGAGCAATGTGTTATCCAGTGTTTTAAAGTAATAAAGTCTTTATTTTAACTGGGAATATCAACAAATTCGTTGTTCCCGTTATTTTCCTGGGCACATCGTGATATCATGATATGGCCAGCTAAATCATGAAGTGGCCGGCGTACCAGACGTGCCCGGGCTTATCACGATGTGCCGAATCCAACGATCGGCGCACAACATAAGTATTGCATTGAGCGGGTATTTCCATCTGTCCCTTGTCATCTGGGTATGCCTCCCAATTTAACATAGTTTGTTCTCCTGTGTGTGTGCTGTGCCATATTATTTCAATAAACTTGTTTGTTTTTAGGTGTGCGAACTGCTACCAAGAGGCGCAGTTCTACTGCTGCTGGAATACTTCGTACTGCGACTACCCATGCCAGCGCGCGCACTGGGCGCAGCACTATGCCGTCTGCACGCAGCAAAGGGTACGTATCACACCCCTACCCTTCCCCACACACTTATTGTAACCTTCGTGACAGTTTTGACACGCGTATAGTTCCAAAATACTGAACTGTCCTATGCATGACATTGACAGTGGGGCGCCACCGTCAATACCGGATCGCTAGTTCCGATTTTTGCCATGTTGGAAACCATATAGTTGAACGATGGTAACGCCCCCCTGTCATTGAGTTTGGCGGGACAGTTCAGCGTGGGTCATCTATATTACATTACGCAGCACTTGACATTGGCGAAATTGTGGTTTCTAAGGGACGATACTCATTAACCGGCGCGCGTCGGAGCGCACTTACACGGCCCTAAAGAAAATAGTATTTTATTAACAGTTCTTAGAGTCGTAACTGCTTACAACTGGTTAACTGACATTTCAATCCGGACGGATGCGCGAGCATGCGTCGGAAGCCGATCGGCTTTGAGCGTATTCCAGCGAATACGCGCGCAGACGCGCTCAGTCCACCGCATTTTTGGCCGAACGGACTCGCGCCGGTCAATGTGAATCCTACCTTACGCTCTATTCATGGTTTCAATTTACGGACTTGGTTCTGAAGTTAAAATCTCACATTTGTATGTTGAACAACGTAATGGCTCCCAGATTGCTCAGAATGCTTACATCGACCTGATTTTGTGTTCCGAAGAGCACATTTAACCGGTGTTTTTGAATCATGGCCGATGCCTATAAAATACCTTATAAAGTCCTTCACCTAGGTTGTTGATAAAACAGTTTATATGAATTTTATGTGCCTATGTTACAGGACACTCCCAGTAATCCGAACGAAGCGCCTGGCAGTAGATTGCAACCGCAACCAGAAAATATACCCGTAAGTTTTAACCATAATTCGATGTCAGTTCCTGTGATATGTGTTCTCCCGTATTTTTTTTGTCACATTCACATCATAGCTTTATAACATTGCACGATGCGACAGCGAATTTAATAAGATGATTCTAAAAAATCTATACTATATTATAAATGCGAAAGTAACTCTGTCTGTCTGTCTCTCTTTCACGCCTAAACCACTGAACCGATTTTGATGAAATTTGGCATAGAGATAGTTTGAGTCCCGGGAAAGGACATAGGATAGTTTTTATCCCGGTTTTTTAAACACGGACGCGCGCGATTACGTTTTTCTGTGACAGACAAAATTCCACGCGGGCGAAGCCGCGGGCGGAAAGCTAGTAGTCAATAAAAACAATCCCAACTAATATTATAAATGCGAAAGTAACTCTGTCTGTCTGTCTGTCTGTTACGCTTTCCCGCTTAAACCTCGCAACCGATTTTGATGAAATTTGGCATAGAGATAGTTTGAGTCCCGGGAAAGAACATAGGATAGTTTTTATCCCAGTTTTTGAAACAGGGACGCGCGCGATAAAGTTTTTCTGTGACAGACAAAATTCCACGCGGGCGAAGCCGCGGGCGGAAAGCTAGTAGTCAATAAAAACAATATCCAATTGTTTTACTCTCTTGTATTTTTTGTAACATCAAGCATCACGTATTATACAGGGTGTTAGGTAAATGGGTATATGAGCCGACAATAGCCCATGTTAACATATGCATATAAATGGTATGGTGAAGTCAGATAATTGATATCATCATTTTAATTATTTTAATTTTCATACAAATCTGATTTTATAAATTTTATTTTGTATGAACATTTAAAAAATTAAAATGATGATATCAAATTTCTGACTTCACCATACCATTTATATGCGTATGTTAACATGGGCTAATGTCGGCTCATATACCTATTTACCTAACACCCTGTATATTATAAAAAAAAAGCGAAAATCCAATATTAAATTGAATTATTTTTGTCAGAAATGCACCACGGCGCCAAGCGCGACCCCCACGCTAACCGTTGGCGGTAAGATCGCGCAAGCGCGGGCTCCCACCAACCAAGACGCCCCGCCCACGTCTAAATCTTCTTCCATCATCAGTAAGTTTCGAAACTAACTATAGTTATCTAACTTTAATGACTAGCTATTGCCTGCGCTGCATTCTTGATAAAAGTTATTTATATTACTTTGATATTCTTTGTTCTGAGGCTGAAATGCTGACTCATCTCTTCCATTAAAATAATGTCACTGTTTTAAAATTATTAATTACTTCTTATAGTTGGACTCGAGATATGTTTTCGTCACGTTTTATAAAATATGATTGCCATCCGCGAATGTACAGACTAGATTACATTTCATTCATAAAATATAGCTATAAAAATCCTTTTTTGTTCGACTGTTCACATTTTATCATCACCTAATTCACTCGTATTTCTGTTTGTTCCAAAAAGAGTTTCATGAAATCGAGTTGACCTTTGAATCGTTTTGCAATAAAAAACAAATTCTAAACAATTCACAGTGAGCATGGTAGAAGACAAAAGTGGGAATCAGACGATGAAGTGCGTGGGCGTCTACAAGCCGTCCGCGCCTGCCGTCTCCAACCAGATCTCGCCGATCGTTCAGGTTTGTCACACACAGCCCATAAAACCAGGCCTGTTCATCTCCGCGAGTTTACATCGAAAACAAAACACGCACGATGGCCCACCTACAGAATACTATTCGACAAGGCCTCACATACGAGCGAACATTGACTCACGCACGCGTATTCTTGTGTATGATGGAATAAAATAAAGAAAATGGTGTACCTAATACTGTGCAGTATATTTAACTGCCTAAATAATAATAAAAACACATAATGTACTTTTTAAGTTGCCTCAAGACACTGAGAGGTAAGTAAGTAGTTAATATTATTCATGATAATTCAATGTATAGCCTGACCAGGAACATAAAAACCCTGGCATAGAGGCGCCTCAATTGCATTTGATAGTGCAACACTGAGTACAGTCGTACCTGTGTTAAATTAATAGGCTAACTTTATGTATCAGGATTCAGGATTACGGGCTAATTTGATATTTTCATAAATTAACGAAATAATATTATTATAGGTAACCTGATTTAAATAAATTAAATGAAACCATCAATCGAGCTAGTAGATTTATTTTATTATTCATCAATAATCAAATTCNTTTTCAAAGAAAATTGTATTTTAAAGTCATATTACTTGGATTAGTCCGTACTAGTCGCGTCAAGTATGCTAAATTACTACGTACTAGGTGGAACAGGTATTTGGATCGAGTATTAATAAATACTTGGAATAGGTGCACCTAGTATCAAATTTACCTAGTATAACCCATCTCTAGTGTGTACTGTATCTAGGGGCTTATTCCACTATTCCCCGTTGACATTTGTTCATTGTTGTGACTTTTTGTTCACTAATCCCCGTTAACGCCAATAGGAGCTTTATAATGGGGAATAATGAACTAAAAAGTTCATTAATCCCCGTTATATTAGGATTTTATTTTTAACGTAATGGGGATTAATGAACTTTTTAGTTCATTGTTCCCCATTATAACACAATTGGCGTTAACGGGGAATAGTGAACAAAAAGTTCAGTAATCCCCTTTGACGGGGATTGTCAACGGGGAATAGTGGAATAAGCCTATCTAGGGATAAGCTTTAGTTCGTCCGATGTTGATGCGGTGTCTATGAGTAGGACAAAAGGTACACGACAATCAAGATTTGGTATGTAAGTAAATAGGAGTCCTCATCGAGCAATGTGTTATACAGTGTTTAACTGGGAATATCAACAAATTCGTTGTTCCCGTTATTTTCCTAGGCACATCGTGATATCATGATATGGCCAGCTAAATCATGAAGTGGCCGGCGTACCAGACGTGCCCGGGCTTATCACGATGTGCCGAATCCAACGTTCAGCGCACAACAAAAGTATTGTAATTGAGCGGGTATTTCCATCTGTCCCTTGTCATCTGGGTATGCCCCCCAATTTAACATAGTTTGTTCTCCGTTGCTGTGCCATATTATTTCAATAAATTTTGTTTGTTTTTAGGTGTGCGAACTGCTACCAAGAGGCGCAGTTCTACTGCTGCTGGAATACTTCGTACTGCGACTATCCGTGCCAGCGCGCGCACTGGGCGCAGCACTATGCTGTCTGCACGCAGCAAAGGGTATGTATCACACCCCTACCCTTATTGTAACCTTCATTCGTGACAGTTGACACGCGTATTATAGATGACCCACGCTGAACTTTCCCACCAAACTCAATGACAGGGGGGCGCTACCATCGTTCAACTATATGGTTTCCAACATGGCAAAAATCGGAACTAGCGATCCGGTATTGACGGTGGCGCCCCACTGTCAATGTCATGCATAGGACAGTTCAGTATTTTGGAACTATACATTACGCTGCACTCGAGACATTGGCGAAATTGTAGTTCCTAACACAGAGCACGTTCCTAAGGGACGATACCCATTGACCGGCGCGCGTCGGAGCGCACTTACACGGCCGTAAAGAAAATAGCATTTTATTAACAGTTCTTGGAGTCGTACTTGCTTACAACTGATTAACTGACATTTCAATCCGGACGGATGCGCGAGCATGCGTCGGAAGCCGATCGGCTTTGAGCGTATTCCAGCGAATACGCGCGCAGACGCGCTCAGTCCACCGTATTTTTGGCCGAACGTACTCGCGCCGGTCAATGTGAATCCTACCTTACGCTCTATTCATGGTTTCAATAAAATGTACGGACTTGGTTCTGAAGTTAACATCTCACATTTGTGTGTTGAACAACGTAATGGCTCCCAGATTGCTCAGAATGCTTACATCGACCTGATTTTGTGTTCCGAAGAGCACATTTAACCGGTGTTTTTGAATCATGGCCGATGCCTATAAAATACCTTATAAAGTCCTTCACCTAGGTTGTTGATAAAACAGTTTATATGAATTTTATGTGCCTATGTTACAGGACACTCCCAGTAATCCGAACGAAGCGCCTGGCAGTAGATTGCAACCGCAACCAGAAAATATTCCCGTAAGTTTTAACCATAATTCGATGTCAGTTCCTGTGATATGTGTTCTCCCGTATTTTTTTTGTCACATTCACATCATAGCTTTATAACATTGCACGATGCGACAGCGAATTTAATAAGATGACTCTAAAAAATCTATACTATCTATACTATAATATTATAAATGCGAAAGTAACTCTGTCTGTCTGTCTGTCTCTCTTTCACGCTTAAACCACTGAACCGATTTTGATGAAATTTGGCAGGGAGATAGTTTGAGTCCCGGGAAAGGACATAGGATAGTTTTTATCCCGGTTTTTGAAACAGGGACACGCGCGATAACGTTTTTCTGTGACAGACAAAATTCCACGCGGGCGAAGCCGCTGGCGAAAAGCTAGTAGTCAATAAAAACAATATCCAATTGTTTTACTCTCTTGTATTTTTTGTAACATCAAGCATCACGTATTATACAGGGTGTTAGGTAAATGGGAATATGAGCCGACACTACCCCATGTTAACATATGCATATAAATGGTATGGTGAAGTCAGAAAATTGATATCATCATTTTAATTATTTTAATTTTCATACAAATCTGATTTTATAAATTTTATTTTGTATGAACATTTAAAAAATTAAAATGATGATATCAAATTTCTGACTTCACCATACCATTTATATGCGTATGTTAACATGGGCTAATGTCGGCTCATATACCTATTTACCTAACACCCTGTATATTATAAAAAAAAAGCGAAAATCCAATATTAAATTGAATTATTTTTGTCAGAAATGCACCACGGCGCCGAGCGCGACTCCCACGCTAACAGTTGGCGGTAAGATCGCACAAGCGCGGGCTCCCACCAACCAAGACGCCCCGCCCACGTCTAAATCTTCTTCCATCATCAGTAAGTTTCGAAACTAACTATAGTTATCCAACTTTAATGACTAGCTATTGCCTGCGCTGCATTCTTGATAAAAAGTTATTTGTATTACTTTGATATTCTTTGTTCTGAGGCTGAAATGCTGACTCATCTCTTCCATTAAAATAATGTCACTGTTTTAAAATTATTAATTACTTCTTATAGTTGGACTCGAGATATGTTTTCGTCACGTTTTATAAAATATGATTGCCATCCGCGAATGTACAGACTAGATTACATTTCATAAAAGAAAGTCGTGTTAGTTACTCCACTTATAACTCAAGAACGGCTGAACCGATTTAGCTGAAAATTGTCAGGGAGGTAATTTAGAGCCAGGAGAAGGACATAGGATACTTTTTATTCCGTTCGAAATTAAAAAAAAAGTCTGCTTATTTATTGCCATTAAGGCGGAACAAAGTTCGCCGGGTCAGCTAGTATAGCTATAAAAATCCTTTTTTGTTCGACTGTTCACATTTTATCATCACCTAATTCACTCGTATTTCTGTTTGTTCCAAAAAGAGTTTCATGAAATCGAGTTGACCTTTGAATCGTTTTGCAATGTTTTAAAATAAATTCTAAATACTTCACAGTGAGCATGGTAGAAGACAAAAGTGGGAATCAGACGATGAAGTGCGTGGGCGTCTACAAGCCGTCCGCGCCTGCCGTCTCCAACCAGATCTCGCCGATCCTTCAGGTTTGGCACAACCCATAAAACATTAAAACCCAGGGGGCAGGGGAGGGGCATTTGCTGAAATCTCGCCGAAAACGTATGAACTCGCCTAAAAGCGCTACAGTCGCTTTAAAAGAGCTAAGTCTAATGATCTGACCTAAAAATCGGGTTTGTCCCCTCTAAGCCAGTGACGGGGTACGCCCAGCATGGGCAAATGTAATTTATTTTTTTGTCTCCTCTAGGCCAGAAGTGGGCCGCAGCATGGGCAAATACTTGTAATTTATTTCTACTACTTTGCCCTCACTATGTTTAAAGTAGTCGTCCTTTAGTCCGCATACGAAACTGATTTTAGAATAATTTTTACTTATGTTCCTGTTTCCATCTTCATCATCCATCATGTCATTTAGTATCCACTGCATGAATACGACTTAATTTACCAGAGACAAATGAAAGATTTGGTCTACTATCCCCACGCCTGACCAAACTGGTTGGGGAGATAAAAATGTAATATTGAGGTCTATTACACTTTGATAACCTGAATTTGATCACCGAGGCGACACTTTTTGGTATCCTTTGATCACACATAGATAAAAATGTCCTCTTTGATCACCTACGGTGATTTTATCCAAGGGTGATCAAAGGACTCCAAAGTGACGCTGGGAGTCCACTTTGATCACTTTAGTGATCAAATTAAAATAGACCATTATTTAGTGGTAAAAAGAAAATGAAGTCGAGAATTAAGCTCGATATATTTGATTGGTTTAAAACTAATTTTGTGTTTCAGATGCCGAATAACGAAGAGAACGCCACCACAAACAAAATGATGACATCGGGCGGCTACCTCATAGTCGGCGGAAACACCACAAACCAGGTCACGACGCCGCCGCGCCGCGCTCACACCATCCAGTACCACTACACCTGAGGATTGCTGCACACAGCTCCACAGTGGTCTGGTGACGTCATTGTAATCGATTAGCAAACAATAGACTAAAGCCTGGTCCGTAAGCACGTAGAATTTTGTCCAATGACCCCAAGCTACCTATCCTTATNACTGCAATGTCTGCTCATGAACGCTTCAAACTCGGTACTTCTTTCCCAATCCCATAAAATTCAACACTTAGAAAGTGACAAAATTTTTAAAATATGTAGTTGAAACAAACCACAGCTAATTTTCATAGTGGACTGTACTATACGATAAACATGTCAGTCAATTTGACAACCTTTGTCGGAAACATTATTCAATGAAAATATTGTCCAAACCCTTAGTATTTCTCTTCGACAAATACTTTAACACATTGTGAACCACTTTTCTTTCACGACTATAAAAAAATTTTAGCAATTTAATTCATAAAACCAATTGCGCACATTTAAAATAAAGTTTGTTTACACTTTGACAGCAATAGACTGACATGCAAGGTGACATGTCAATGAAGTTTTCAGTTACTGTTGCCATTAAAAGAAATTAGTACCATTAGTTTTCCGCAACATGGCGAGGGTTTTTATGTTCCTGGTCAGGCTATAAATCATGTATTTCCTCCGCCATTTTCCGCAGTTTGGCACCTCATGTCACATCATTTTACCGAAGTCAGCCCTATAGCTTGGGCGCAGTGCCGATCACTGACGTTTGTCAACAAAATGGTGCTTGACTCTTGAGACAGGCTAAATTACACCATATTGTTAATGACATTGAGCATACATTTTTTTAAATACCTTCGCGAAGTGAAACTTCTGTACGTAGTACTTATTATTATTCTGTGATAAAACTGAAAAAGCTCAGAAGGATCGGTTCTTGACGAAAACAACGAACTTCGGAATAGTCTTTATTTTCACTTTCACCACTCTCGCTGCACAACAATACCCGACGGGTTTCGCAATTCGAATGGCGGACTGAGGCAGTGTTGCCAGTTTAATCGATTCATTTATAGACTCCAAATTATGATTATGATTAACTGAGAATATTACTATTTGATTAATTTAGTGATTAAAGTAAATTATATAATTAATTAATGGTGAATATATGTATAGTACGCAATAAAATATAAACGACTGTTACAAAACATTAAGGCTGAGTTTTACCACCTTACTTTAACCGTACCTATAACAATATTCGGTGTTTTTAGTATGAAGCTGGACAGACTTTTGACGTTTGTTAAAGTAAGATGGTGCAACTCTGCCTTAAATATTCAAATATTTGTAATTTCTACTACTTTTTTTTACATACGGTTCTGTTTAGTAATCTATCATCATCATCATCATCAGGTCACTTAAATGAAACTGAAGTCGAGAACTAGGCGTGGTTGTAGTTAGTTTTGCAGGGCAATCGAATCGCATTTAGCATCTTGATTGGACCATGCGCGATTTGTGATTTATCTTCCTAGAACCAACCCAGATCCCCCCAGAAAGCAAGCAGCCTATCTAGGCCGCTACAGGCCTCCTGCAGCGATGCTGATGATTAACTAGGCGTGTTAAATTTGATTGGTTTAAAACGAATTTTGTGTGTCAGATGCCGAATAACGAAGAGAACGCCACCACCAACAAAATGATGACATCGGGCGGCTACCTCATAGTCGGCGGAAACACCACAAACCAGGTCACGACGCCGCCTCGCCGCGCACACACCATCCAGTACCACTACACCTGAGGATTGCTGCACACAGCTCCACAGTGGTCTGGTGACGTCATTGTAATCGATTAGCAAACAATAGACTAAAGCCTGGTCCGTAAGCACGTAGAATTTTGTCCAATGACCCCAAGCTACCCATCCTTATCGCTCGCGCGTAATTATGTTGCTGTCGCGCTTGCACACTCACTGCGGGCGCCCGTCGCACAGTCGCGACAGCAATATAATTACGCGCGAGCGATAAGGATGGGTAGCTTGGGGTCATTGGACAAAATTCTACGTGCTCACGGACCAGGCTTTACACACTGATACTGCCTGCAGCTACAATGAGCCTGACTTAGTTTTTAAACGTTTTAACCAGTATAGAAACAATATTTTTCAAGTTTGAACCTTATGTTATCTGGATAATGTTCAAAATAGACAACTCTGTGACTACCAGGTGATTGGCTAAGTACGTTGGTTTACGTGTTTAGAATAAAATAATTAGAAAAAGTGGGGTTGTTTTAGAACATGACACCGTTTTGTTCACATCTCTGGCGATAATGTCACTGCAAAAGCGAGCATTTTTTACCTGTCTTTAAATTAGTACACAATCTTCCTTCTATGAGATGATTGTGAGTGATTAACTAGATCTCTACTCGATTGTGATCTCCGCAGTTGTCGAAACCGTACTGCTAACAATTTCTTTTCTTCTCAACTTTACATATTCGTATCTTCTTTGGTAGAGTTCGAACCTACGCTTGCGAATATTTATATTATTTTATGAAATAATTTCTAAGTGATTATAACCTATTTCTTCTACATGCAGCCCCACTTATAATATCCAGTGACATTGAAACCGTATGGGTTTTAACCCATCTATCTATTCTCTATCCCAGTTAAGATAATAATATGTGATGTGGCTTAAAACATCTGCTAATGTATGTAATACTAGCTTTTGCCGGTACTAGGTGAAGCCGCGGTCACCCGCGTGAAATTTAGTTTGTCACAGATCGTCATAAATTATAGCCTATTTCTGGGTTATAAAGAATAATACTGTAAAGTTTCACCAAAATCCGTTTAGTAGTTTTTGCGTGAAAGAGTAACAAACATCCATCCAGACATCCAAACTTTCGCATTTATAATATTAGTAGGATCTGGTTGTTAATTATTTGCGTGTTTGCTCACAAAAAACACTCATATTGAGCCATGTCACAGTAGGTTTTGGAAAATCTGTTCAATCAGCCATTGTTATTAGAATGGATACATTAGTCCTGTAAATAGTAGCATTTAGTCAGATGAGAAGTTAATGATTTACGACTAAGTAAATCTTTTTAAATTATACATAGGTGTCTTATAGTTTCCGCATTTAATGAGTGCTGTTAAAGCATTTTGAAGGATGATAATTTGATAAATCTACCGTAACTTTACAATTGTGCAANTGTATTGTGCAAAGTTATTATACTCATATTTCGAATATCTGTAAATATTTTGTAAATCGCATGAGTCATTGTATATTTTGATATGAACATTTACGACGGGAATTGTTTGTATACTAACTTGTAACTGTTATGTGGTATACTTGTCGTTGGAATACATCACTCACAGAATTCGTTTGGTGGCAACATAGTCTAGTAAAAATAAAAGTTTTTGGTTGCATTACAGTCATCTTTGTTTGTAAATTGGTTGTGAATTTGTGGTATTATTGAGCCTGACAGTCTGGAACCTGAAAATAAATACAATTATGTTTTCTAAGTTAATTAAACAAAAACTGTAATGTATATCATGTATCCTATTGCTAAGAGTATTAATATTTAATTAATATGCAATATTAAATGTGGCATACGAAATTGCACTTTTTCAGGATTTCGTTATGTTACAATAATTACGGATTATAATCGTCCAATGACAAACTGTCTCTCGAAATAGGCGATAATGTTTTCACTTTGTTCGATACTTTGTGGATTTATTAAATGAAGTAAGTTTTTAGGTATTTTTCGAGTACATAATTCCAAATGCAAAATCTTATGCACCTTACTCCATACAAATTTATTTTTACTAGACAATAGACAGAATATCTCATATCTGATAAGCTATTTGAATACCTGTTATAAGTATTATTTTAATAGCAGTTGTCTTGTTTACCGCAATTGTATTTTAATATTCTGGATTGTAAATACAATATTAATGACTATTGTAAGTTTAGAAATAGTGTTACAGATATGACATCAATACAAATAAACATAAAAATGTGACTCATAATAATTTTGTATCTTGAATGCTATCCAATATTTTAAGACTGCTCTTTAATTAGGTTTCTCAACATTTATTTTAGTTCTCGCAATGATTTAATACCGTCTTGTATTCATAATCTTAACCATTTAACTGGTTGAATATATTCTTTTCATATCATACACAATGATAAATGAACATTATTATTTTAATGAAATAATCGTGGTAGTATAATTTGTTTACCTTGTGTATCTATTTTTTTATACATGCACTTGCACATGCTGCAATACAGTTACTGAACTACATGCGCGAATTCGGTAATATTGGATGTACATTTTATAATTTTGGATGGTTTCTGTTTTGAAATTACTTTTCATCCAAATATCTCTGTCTAATGATCCAAGTAGTAGCATTTGTGTAAATAGTCTTATCATTACCATAAGGAGCTTCTAGCCATAAGGTCAGAAATGTTTTAGTTTCATTTCAATAAAGTTAATGTCAATATATTAAGATTTTTTTATTTATACCTACTGCTATGATAAGCAAAAACAAATTAGTACAGAATAATCAGCTTTATTTTTCAACAAACATTTATTTTTACAGTTTTTGTTTATCCTTTATCTATTAATTAGTTTACAAAAATAACTTTGCAAGAATAGGTACCATACAATCACAAAAATCCTTAGATGTTTTCTATCATTATTAATTTCTTCATGCCTGCATGGCTATGTTTGTTGGGGACTTCCGAATCACATTACATAGTATTACTACATATACTTATCATTCTTAAACAAAACTCTTCAAAAATTATCACAAGAGAACCTTATCAAAGGTTTAGATTACATGCTAACAAATGCTTCAGTCATTTATTTTGATTGATTCATAGCTGCTCCTGCTTTAGCTAGCTGATCAGCCATTTCATTGCCATGAATTCCTCGATGTGCCTCAACATAATTCCATTTTATATCAAGCTTATTCTGAACACTATCAAGGTCTTTAAAGTCTGTCTCATTTTTGACTGGCTCTCCTGATTGTAATTTCCATCCTTTTCTTTTCCAACCTGTGAAATACACAAACCATTAAAAATACATTTTAGGAGAAATAGTGATTAATTAAAAAACAAAATTGTTTTCAATAACAGAAAGCACTTTTCTAATTACCTGGCATCCATTTGGTCACTGAATTGATGAGAAATTTAGAATCAGTGTTGATAGACAGCTTTGTCACACCATTTTGCATAGCGAGTTTGATAGCTTTTGTTGCAGCTTGAATTTCTCCACAATTATTTGTAGCACGACCCGATACTGGTTCACTGGTGTTCAGAGGGTGTGCCTCACCCCAGTAGATTCCTAAACCAGCTCTCGCTCCGCTGCGACCATTGGCAGAGCACGCTCCATCTGTATATACTTGCACATAACCATCATTGTCCGTTTCAAAATCGGACCCTCCACTAGTTTTTCTTCTCTTTGGCTGTGGAGGCTCTATCATAATAGCTTTCCTTTCCCCACCTTTATAACTTTTAGTGTTTTTCTTTATGATTTTGTCAACATTTTTCTCAAAACCTTTCAGCCTCTTTTCTACATCATCCAACTGTTTAGTCAAAATTGTGTTCAAGTCATCAGACCCGTCTGAGAATCCGGCGTCTTCATCGCTGTTTTGATCTTTGCGCTTCTGATTTTTTAAGCTGCTACTGGTTGGTTGAAAACTGTTACTGTTTCCATAATTAGAAGAATTAGAATAGTTTCTTTTAAGGTTTTTATTGGACGAACTTGGCTGGTTTTTTGGTTTATTGAAAGAATTAGATGCTGGTAAAATATTATGACTAACCACATCAGTAATAAATTTTTGAGCTGCATCAGCTGTGTCAAACTTCTTGTATCTGGCACCAGAAAAGCCTTTGACCTGAGCTTCGCAGTCCGCCCAATTCATGAATATTCCGGGAGTCCGACCTTTCGCAACGGCGTAGAAAGGCATCTTAGAAGCTTTATACACGTTTTTATTAATTAAAAAACTAGCTAAAGTTTTCTGTACAACTGTTTTCAGCTTCAACATTTAAAACGTTGATTGAAGCAGTGTTGCCAACTCGGATTTTGAAAAAGTCGTAGGACAGATTAGAAAATTACGTAGAAATGGTACAATTTCCATATAGAAAATACGTAGATCTACGTAATTTTTTTTCTGAGTGAAATGAAGAGAGTAGGGGTAGGTAAAAGTAATAAAACGACAATTTATATTACCCTAAAAGTAGTAAAGTACACTTTTATTGTGTATCATTTTCAGACAAATTAAATTTATACATAATTATATTTGTTGAAAAGAAGGAAGGAAGTTGAAAAATATCGAAATACAACAACACCTTCGAAATCTTAGCACAATCTTAGTTCGAAATATTTTTATAGTGTCAGTGACATTTACAGGGGGGCGCTGTACAGCATTTTTTCTATGGGGAAATGTCAAAATAACATTAGTTCCGACTTTTGCCACATGCCAAATAACCGTGATTGGAACCATGATCGAACTTTTTCGCGAAAGTAAAGGAAACGATGCCCATTCAGCCTATTTTGCAAATTTGATAGAAAATACGTAGATTCTGGGACTAAAGTTCGTAGGTTTGCAAGGAAGGCTTAAAATACGTAGATCTACGTAAAAATACGTAGAGTTGGCAACCCTGGATTGAAGGTATATTTTGCTCTCTATCAGCTGCAGCTGCATGTCAGTATCATGTCATTAGTGTCATCTGTCAAATGGACATGTAATTTTTTAATGGATTTTTGATGCAAAGAACACGAAACTTATTTTATTTATAAAAAAAATATTTTTCATACAAATCGGATTTTATAAATTCTATTTTGTATGACAATTAAAAACAATAAAATTATGTTATCAAAGACAATGCCGGAAATGAGGGCTATCGTTTTAGCGCTCACCAGTTGGCGCCACTGTAGAGTAAGGTCCTGTCACTTGCTAGTAGCGAAGACAGTGGCGCTGACTGGTGAGCGCTAAAGTGGTAGGAGGACTATCGCATTTGCACTCATCAAGATGGCGCCACTGTAGAGTAAGGTCCTGTCAATCGCCAGGGGTGCCAACTGTTAAGTATAAAAACGATAGCCCTCATTGGCGTCTTTTTATTTTCGCGCAGCCGCCATCGACCAAACCTTGTTTTTTGATTATAGCCTGACCAGGAACATAAAAACCCTCGCCATGTTGCGGAAAACTAATGGTACTAATTTCTTTTAATGGCAACATTAACGTCGCCAAAATAAAAGAAGAAGAAGAAGAAGAACTGAAAACTTCATAGTCATGTCACCTTGCATGTCAGTCTATTGCTGTCAAAGTGTAAACAAACTTTATTTTAAATGTGCGCAATTGATTTTGTGAATTAAATTGCTAAAATCTTTTTATAGTCGTGAAAGAAAAGTGGTTTACAATATGTTAAAGTATTTGTCGAAGAGAAATACTAAGGGTTCGGACAATAATATTTTCATTGAATAATGTTTCCGACAAAGGTTGTCAAATTGACTGACATGTTTATCGCATAGTACAGTCCACTATGAAAATTAGCTGTGGTTTGTTTCAACTACTTACCTATTTTAAAATTTTTTGTCACTTTCTAAGTGTTGAATTTTATGGAATTGGGAAAGAAGTACCGAGTTTGAAGCGTTCATGAGCAAACATTGCAGTTGAGTATTCAAGTTCTGAATTTGATTATTGATGAATAATAAAATAAATCCTACTAGCTCGATTGATAGTTTCATTTAATTTATTTAAACCAGGTTATCTATAATAATATTTTTTCGTTAATTTATGAAAATATCAAATTAGCCCGTAATCCTGAATCCTGATACATAAAGTTAGCCTATAAATTTAACACAGGTACGACTGTACTCAGTGTTGCACTATCAAATGCAATTGACGCGCCTCTATGCCAGGGTTTTTATGTTCCTGAATTCCATACAAAAAAGGGACTTTTCGACCGCTTTTCGACTGGTTTGCGATTATAATTTGCACTTTGTCTAGACCCACTGGTCAGGCTATACAAAATAGTGTTAATAAACCAAACTTGCTATGACATGTATTCGCTGGGTGCGAAGTACTAGGTGGGGGTAACATAATCTATCGCAGCGCTCATGGTGGTCAAAAGTAGAAATAATGTGAGCTCTGTCATCAGATGTATCTGTCAATGGCAAAGCGATTCTACATAATACATTTTAATAACATTAATTAATCGCATGAAAAGGGTCATACTGGGAACTAAAATAAAACAGTGGACTGTATTTCGATAGGGCTGGTTTAATAGCCGTTTACAATTTGGAAATAACTAGACTATACAACGTGGTAGTACAAAAATGAGTCACAGTAGTTGTTGTGCACAGATGTTTGCCTTATGATGAGAGCGTGAAATTATTAACTCTGCCCTTGTTTTGTTCTTAATTCTTCTACATCTCGAACTTGTCCAGCCAATACCAACAACTTTCCTTTAAATACAGTTTGTGGTTGGAATTTGATATTGTAACACTCACAAACCGGGTCTTCAAAACAATACTCATTTCGATCTGAAAACGATATTTAATTTATCCCCACCTTCCAACCACCTGCCCCCCCCTAGCCTCCCCTCCTGAAACTTCTGGTATGAAGTCTCCTACGCCTCCCCAACTGAAAATCATCTAAATCTGCAACCCCACCTTCCAACCACCTGCCCCCCTAGCCCCCCTCCTGAAACTTCAGGTATGAAGTCTCCTACACCTCCCCAACTTGAAAAAACCCCTAAATTTGCAACCCCACCTTCTTCCTACCAGACCCCCCTAGCCTCCCCTCCTGAAACCTCTGGTATGAAGTCTCCTACACCTCCCCATCTTGAAAACTATCCTAAATTTGCAACCCCACACTTCAATGGCTAGCCCCCCCTTAGCCCCCCCCCCCTGAAACTTCTGGTACGAAGTATCTTTTACCTTCAAAACAAAACACGCACGACGTTCGAGCGTCGCGTCACGCCTGCATGCCCTGAGATTGACCGCTGGCTGATCTAGTTTGAAGCGGTTTCGGCTCATACGTGACAAGCGGCCAGTGGTCACGCACACACACGCGTTGCACTTGTAGTGATGTACCTATCACAGCGCATTCGTATAGTAGCTTTGTCTCTGTTCCTTTTCTTTACTCATGTGTCCCCAGTTGGTAGTAGTACTCTTGGCCGTGCTCTTGGGGAGTTTTGTCCCCAAGAGTCGTTCAGCTATTAGAATACAGATTGAAACTAAAAGACTTTCTGACTTCAATGAACGAAGACCTATGACTTATTTTCTGATACCTTACTTAAATGTATTTTTGATTTAAATAACCTCAGCCCAGCCCCCTAAGAAGAAATGAAACGAATTTATTTAAATACAATGATGTACTTTATTAGGATACTTAACAATAGGTCTGTCACCATGTTAACACACCATCACTATGTCACCACTATTTTGTAAAAAAATCCTTACATTAACAATGATTGGTAAGTAATCTCGTGTTCTTATTATTCAAAATTACTTATGTATTTTCTAGTAATGACAGTCTACAACTGGTCGTCTACTTCGTGTTATTATACATAAATACGTAAATAATAAGTCTTATTTTAAAATAAATATATTTTATGAATTTAGGGAAAATCAAAACATTTAAATGTTAAAAATTTCTTTTACATCGTAATATTATGTTTCGCGTTATTAAAATATAATTAATAATCGCATTTTTCTAAAATATATGTATAAGTAGTATAACTAATAATTAGATAATATATTCGACTAATGTGTTATCTAATTAAATAAGCTGGAAAAGATTAAATTCATACATAATTAGAAAAACGTCGTCTCCCTTAGAATTTCATTAAAAAAACATAAAAAGACAGCCTACGAGTATTTAATTTTATAGCTAGGCACAATCAGATCAAAAATTTCATGAAAATAACATTTCAAATTGCTGTAATCCGTGAAAATACCTATACTTACAACGCGCGGAAAACTTCTTCTAGCACCACGCGCTACGAAATCCGTAGTAATATCATATCTAAGTAACATAACTAGTTCATTACGAAGTTCTTTTTCTTTAGTTTCTGGCGTACACAATAAATAAATAAACGCCTACACTGGGGAAAAGTTTATTGTTATAAGATATTGTCAAGGAAATGCGATGGTTTTGTTTGCGGATTGTAGTGTATGATGCCCGACTTTTCAGCGTTATTTCATGAAAGAAAATGTCGCAAGCCACTATATGCCCGCCACATAACATGAAACCCTTAACATATCTAATGCATTTACGGTGATTGTATTAATTAATCTGTAATAATCTGACTGCACTAACTACTTACAAAATGTTCATGAAAGTTTCAGTAAGTATAACAATAATGGCACTATTTTAAAAAAATGGCTTGGGGTTTCAGAATGGAAGCAGTATTTTCAAATAGCCAACGTATTAATAAAATTACATAGAAAATGTTGTGTAAGTATGTATTAAAACAAGTCACAATGTCATAAATAAGCTGCACAATACATACTTATTGACACAGTGCGTTTGGAAATACTTATAGCATTTTTATTCAATTGGTATACTTTTTATACTTTTCGCTAAAAAGCTGTATAAATGCAAATAAAATCTATTAATTTTTTTATCTTTACTTAATGCTATAGGCATTTTTACCTTTCCACCATTTTAGACCGCCGAGTTTATTTTTTATGAGACTTGTTTCAATACTACGCAAAATATACACTCAGCCCAAACAACATATTGAAATTCAATCGCAATAATTATACGGTAACTTAATTATAAACAGACCTAATTGCTCAATTAATTAACTAAATTACATTACCCTTACCTACATAAACAGCTAAGCTCAAACTGGTAGGTATTTAAAACATACCATAAATTTTAATAAAAATTATACTAATTAACAGTACACAACGTATTAATAAAATTTATTAAAATGTGAACAATTGATTTGGTTAATAAATTGGTAAAGTTAGTTCAGTTGAGGATTGTAAATAAAGAATTTTGAAATGACTAGTCGTAATATTAGTAAGTAAGAAGGTATAGAAATACATTTGAAATAATGGATAAATATTATAATAATTACGTATTAGAAGTGGGTTGAAATTAGGCTTAGGTACGTAAATTAGGCACGGGGTTGTTAGTTTTAAATGTATGGGTAAAATCATACATTTTGAGTTTTTAAAACTATAACCGACAATGTTCTTAGGTAACTCTAAATTACCTTAACAATTTTGAAACAATGGAGAACTTTTGTAAATTATAATAAGACGACGTTTGAACCACCCTCTCTTTGGTTGTGGTAGGTAATGTTTTATGAAGGACATTGCTATATTTTGTATGTTACCACGCCGATGTAGTAGACCGTCTTAGTTCGACGCCAGCACCCGCAGACTAGAGTTAATCTAAGATCTACCTAGCATTACCTAAGAAGCATTATGATACAGCTGCCTTCGCTAAATTGTCATTATTTTAACAGCTATTAGGTAGGTGCTAACTGCCACTTGGGCACAATACCACATAACACTCCAAAGAGTCCTTACTCGAGTTTCGTTTTTCACAAGGGCACAATTTTGAGGTTTTTTGTTGCGAAAAAGTTGACCTTTGGTCCCTATACTGTATTTTTTACCCAACAGGTATACAGTAGTTTAAAGAAACTAGAATGGAGGAAACTTAGAAA